ACACTGCTCCCAGTACAGTGGGCAGAGAGGTGAAGTGGAGATCTGTTCCACCCACTGTGTCCGGGGCACAAGGACCATTTCCCCCCCCCTTAAAATAACGTTATTACAAGAACATAATGGGGACCTGGATAATGTTAGTATGAAGAAAAGAAAGGGCCATGTGCTGTTTTCCTCCTCCATTCCTCATTTGAACAGTGGTGGCGGCGCATTGTGATTCAGTCCTCTTGGTACAAAGCCATTGGATAGGTTCTCCTGAGCAAATGAACGTGAATTTTTAAATGTCAGCTTTGTTTTCCAGGGCGAGCCTAAGATGCTGCTTGAAAGGCGCATGCACGCTACTTTTCCCCCCCTCAGCATCTCAGCAGTGTTGATATTACATTTACTTAGAGAAGTTCCTTTGGCAGGAAACCACAGTTCGAGACCAACCCAAATAAGTCCAAACGCGCCAGTGCTTTGGCCTGGCTTTTGTTCACTATACAGATGTTTCCTCCAGTTATTGGTTGGCCTTTCCCGCCACCTAGTGGATATATGCTTGCTTTCTTCTTTATACTTTTATTAGGTAACCACAGAAATTTCCCACAAATCTGAGCTCAGCCCTGGGAAACCGCTAACAATACATCTGCAGCTTCCAAAGAAGCGGGGGCTATTTTGCCAGTTGTAACAATCTCATAAAACTAGGGAAACAGTGAGGTCATTGTCATAGCTATTTTGTACTCCTGAATTTTATTTCATATATGTATTTGATTGCTGTTATTTCTTTCCCTTTGACTTGCTTTTTCATACATGGCCACATGTCACCTTAAAGAGTCTCACTTCTATACCTGTTTCTAGAAACTGTTTTGCTCCTTCCATTTTTTTAATTCTATTACTTTCGGGGGGGAAAAGAAGTCTGTCCACCATGTGGATCAAAGTGGTGTGCCCTAGTGCTCACGTGTTGTTTCTGAGTAGTTAAATCTGTTGGTTGGCTTCAAATGTTTACAGAATAAGGGATGGTGTTACTGCAAGACCTTGGAACATATATGTAAACTTAAAATATGTAAGTAAGGCTATTAGAGTTCTTGCAAAGGGAGGCCTAATTCGTGCTTCAGAACATCAGGATGCCTTAGTTTTCTTTTCAATATGGTTCTTTCAGTACAGTACTGTGGCTTGTTTTCCAAGGATATTCAAGGACGTTGTCTCAGGCTGCTTGGCTTGTGTGTGATAGCTTAGATTGGGCATTCTTTCCTAACATGAAATGGGAGTTCTTGAGATATGCACTTGGCAATAAATTCTGCTGCTGCATACTTACAATAAGCTGTGAACTATGAATAACCTCAAGATAAAAACAGCATGTGTATGTGAATCTAAGCCTTCCATATCAAGGCCTGTTTTCACAAAATTCAGTTCCCAAGCCCAATGTGTTCTTAAAGCCCAATATATTAAAAGTACAGTATGATAGAATCAGCATAGCTGCTTTTCATTTTCAAAGTTCCTTCTACCAATAACAGAAGACTCGATTAGTGCAGTGCAACATTTATGAAATGCTTCTGATCATTCCTGGATTGCTTTTTCGCTTCTAAGAAAAATATACCGGCTGACATGAATTGCAGCTGTAGTTTAGAGCAGCAGTCCCCAACGTTTTTGGGACCATGGAGTGGTGGTGGTGGGGGCTCGCAAGCACAACACGCCCACCGGGCAGGCGGGGGGGCAGAGATCCGTGTCCGTGGCCCAGTTCCAAGAAACTCATGGACCGGCACCGGGGCATGGACCGGGGGTTGGGACCCCTGGTTTAGAAAATAGCAGGCATGGATGGAGATATTCTAGCCGGTACGATAGGCTTCTCTTCAGGTGAAAACCTTATGGAGAAAGGAGATGGTGCCTTTGTGATATTGGTGGCACTTCATGATTTGGTTCGATTTGCAAAATCCTAGCATGGCCAGGGCTGGGCGAACTAGTGTTTGGGAGACAAATGTGTAGCTCCTGAAGACAGGACCTGCCTTGTATGCTTATACTTGATTGCTTTGGAGTTTATTAGAAAATTATATAGATACCTCTCTTAACTGAGAAACCTTCGCTTCCTTTCTGAATGACTTTATCCTTGGGGAAATGACACATTAAAGACCAGTAGACCAAGTGTTGTTACCATTCTCTCTCTGCTGAGGGTGTGTGTGTGTGTGTGTGTGTGTGTGTGTCTGTGTGTGTGTGTGTGTGTGTGTGTGTGTGTGTGTGTGTTAGGGAGTGCATTTTGTCATGTGCAGGCGGAGGAAAAAGTGGGAAGCTATCCTAAGCAGCTTTTACACTGTTCATATCCAGTGAAGCAGAGGATATCCTAAAGCAGACCTGGGCAAAGTGCGGCCCAAGGGCCACATACGGCCTGTGAGCCGCTCCTGTCCGGCCCGCGGACAGTTTTGAATATCAAAACCATTTATAGCTTTTTGTCTAAAGTTGATCAGTTGCTTATCTTTAACATACCGCAAAAAAAAACTCTTTAGTATTTGTGAAGATTAACAAGTTTAAAATGAAAACAATCATAACGTCACTGTTTCATTTTAATTTTATGTCAAGTTGCTTCGGCCCCTGAACACAGTTCAGATTTTTCATGTGGGCCCCCCTATAGCAATTAATTGCCCACCCCTGTCCTAAAGGTTCCCCCTGTGATTGTGTGTGAGGAGCGAAAATTGGGTTGTCACCTCATGCTTGGGCACCTAACCCGAAACAATCAGAATGAAAGTGTTTGTTACTGCAGATCAAGAACCAAGTATGGGTAGGTAACAGTTAACAACGCATCTGTTCTGCTTCTCTTTGCCTTGACATTGGCCGGATGACTTTACTTGAATTAGGGGTAGAAAGTTTAAATCCTGCAATATACTCACAGCTAATGCCTTTGTTACTCTGTACCATCTGGTTTGCATTATGACATATAGGTCAACGGATGCATCTTGACATTCAACGTTCTGTGTGGGGTTGTGTGTGTATATTGAGCGTGTGTTGAGTGTCACTTTGTGTGTAATCACAAACACATAATGGTAAATATATACACAATTAAGTACACAGGAATTTTTTTTAAAAAAACTGTCAGTTTCTTCAGATCTCTTTCTGTTTGTAGAAAGTGAATGGGAATATGCCTGAATTACTGCTGCAGTTCACAAGTTAAAAGGCAGTTTGGAGGTGAAAGGTCAGGTGGGTTTCAGATTTTCACATAGTACTGGTGGCAGCAGTGGAGGTATAGAATAGTTCATAGAATTGTGGAATAATAAGGTTGGAAGGGCCTTTAAGGCCATGGAGTCTAACCCCCTGCTCAGTTCAGGAATCCAAATCAAAGCAGAGAAGAACATAAGAGTCCTGCTGGATCAGGCCAAGGACCCATCTAGTCCAACTTCCTGTATCTCACAACGGCCCCACAAGATGTCTCTGGGAGCACAAGAGACAACTAGATACCTGTCTCCGTATACCCCTCCCTTGCATCTGGCATTTTGAGATAACTCCCTTTTAAGCCTGGAGATTATACATCCCCGTCATGGCTTGCAACCTGCTATGGGCTTTTCTTCCAGAAATCTGTCCAATCCCTCTTTAAGAGCATCTAAGCCATATGCCATCACCTCATCCTGTGGCAAGGTGTTCCACAGACTAACAACATGCTGAGTAAAGACATATATTCTTTTATCTGTTCTTGTTCTCCCAAAACTCAATATGAGTGGATGTCCCCTGGTTCTGGTATTGTGTGAAAGGGGAAAAAACTTCCCTCTATCGACTTTATCCGTCCCCTGCATAATTTTCTATGTCTCAGTCATGTCCCCCCTCAGGCGCCTTTCCTCTAGACGAAAAAGCCCCAAATGCTATAGCCTTTCCTCATAAGAGAGGTCCTTTTATGGTGATCTGACAGATGGTTCTTCAGTTTTCTCTTGAATGCCTAGTTCTTTTAATACATAGTAGCATATCTGTGTTTCTATACATAGAAAGTGAATAACTGTGCTAAACCATGCCATTGGGACTTAGGCATGGCCATTGTATTCAGAACTGCTTTTTTTCTAAAGCAGTTTCTGAATGGTGAACATACTTATTTGTACTAATATCATTACAGTTTAACGAATGAAGGCCTCATCACACCTTCCCTCAAACTTGCCATTGAACTTGCTAGTTGATGTTTCTTAAGCTTTCCCTCCTTCATCTCCTTCCAAAGAGCCAAGAATGTGCATGAGGAGAGCGCCGAGTCCCGTCCGACGCAGCCAAAGGCAGCCTCTCTAGGCCAGAGGTGTTTTTGGTTTTGGTTTTGTTCCCATGGAATTTATTGTACTTGACGCGATTCTGCCAGTGGCAAAACTGGTTTGTTCCATCTGTGAGAGCAGATATGCATCCCCCCCGCCCCGCTTCTGTGTCAGGTCTCTGTACAGCTTCGAAAGGGCTTGCTTGCACCACTCGCTTCTACCACATCGTCACCAAAGGGGATGCAAGGAGCCACTGGAGGACCGCCATGGTGGTTCTCTCTCGCTTCTTCTGCAGACAGTTGCATCACGGACCCATCAGGATGCTGTATGGCTGCCAACTGGCTTCAGATTGTAGTGCTGTTGCCTGATTTCCTCTGGGAGTGCGTCAGAAGCACTGCCAAGAGGCACTTTAATTCATGAGTTTTTTTTTTAAAATACAGAAACTTCAGACTGGTTGACAAATTTCATATTTATACCCAGAAAATACAATGAATCAAAGTCAATGAATGTAAAAACTCCCATCAATGCCAGAACAATAAAACAGTGACATATCAAATTAAAGTCATTAAAATCACTGACTGACTTTGGTGAACGGAAAAATGCCTGATCACACACGGAGTCTTCAGCTGGGGGCGGAGACATCCTGAACAGCCCACCTGTTCTCAATAGGGGAATGGCTCCATATGGTGGGTGCCACAATAGAAAATGCCCCTCCACAACACTACATCACATTTTATTGCGTTACCAGTTTTGCTTTATGAGCAGGAATTCAAAGCCATTAACCATGCCTTCTTCATTTTTTCCTCTCTCTTGTAGAACTGGATGGTGAAGAAATTGCTTGCACATATAATGGACAGATGTATCTGAACAGGGATATATGGAAGCCTACCGCGTGTCAGATTTGCGTCTGTGACAACGGAGCCACTCTTTGCGATGAGATCCAGTGTCTTGAAGCGCTGGAGTGCGAAAACCCACAGGTCCCCCCTGGAGAGTGTTGCCCTGTGTGTCCGCACACAGCCCGGAATGGTTTCGAAGGTGCTATTGGTAAGATTGCTTTAAAATAGTCAATCGATTGGGATTTTTGAAATTAAAAGAAAAAAATCCATGATAATCTCTGTGGGTTTATAGTCCTCCTGAAGTAAACATAGTGGGAGTGTATGTACAATGCCTGCAGCATAATTGATGTCTGGATTCCTAAGTTGGGTAGCCTTGCCTTTCCAGAAATGTGAGGAGAAGGAACTGAGCCTATAGAGATGGACATACGTATCCATCAGTTTCTAGTCCATGTCTCTTTTACAGGTATTCATAGAATCTTAGAGCTATAGAGCTGGAAGAGACTTCATGGGTCATAGAATCCAACCTCCTATGGATGCAGGAAATCCCCAGCTAAAGTGACTTGAGAGATGGCCACCCAGCTTCCATTGAAGAACTTCCTATGAGGGAGAGTCCATTGCCTTTCAAGGGAGACCTTTCCATGGCTTGACAGTTCTTACTGTTTGAAATTCTTCCTTATGTTAACATTTTATTTTCATAATTGGAATCCGTTTTCTGGAGCCATGGAAAAGTATTCTGCCAACTCCCAAGCCAACTACATCAGAGCACAGAGTGCTGTCCTCTGAAGATGCCGGCCACAGAGACTGGCAAAATGTTAGGAAGAACAACCTTCAGAGCATGGCCAAAGAGCCCGAAAAACCCACAACAACCATTATTCTGCTCATCTTCAGCATGACAGCCCTTCAGATATCCAAAGATACTCATTACTTCATTCTACATTGGCTCTGGTTGAATTTATGAATATATGAATTTGCACAAAAATTTATATTGGAATATGGATCATTAAGTATGTTTTCTTCCAGCACATCTGTTTCTAACTCCTAATTTTCTTTTGATTTTGATGAGTGACAAATGGGTCAGGTTGCTGCCAGCCTGAGACAATTTTGCATGTGTTCAGTCATCATTTTGCTGCATGGAAGATGCAAGGAGTCCAGACTGTATGTCTTCAGTATTAACAGAGGCAGTTTTATTGAGAATTGCAGCCTAATGTGAAAGAGTGGGGAGGAAGAAGAACAGCACATATAATATCCAGTTTGCTAATGCTATGAATTTGGAATGACTATGCAAAAGCATAGAGAGAACTTACCTAGTGGATCCAATAGCATAATGCCTCCATGTAGTTTCAAAATGTAGACAAGTACATCACCTTTCGTACCTCAAACCCTAGTCCCTCAAAACTCTAGCTACTAGAGATGGGCAAGAACCACTTCATCTCAGTTTATAAAGGTGGCAGCACAGGTGCTGCTGCTCCCCTCCCCTGACCCCTCTGGCTTGATCAGCCACTCACCTGGCCCAGCTTGCTTGTTTTTTTCCCCACCCCCTCGCCAGATCTGCCAGTTCCAGCAACAGCTCAGGCTTCTCTGCTCCACCCTCTTGGCTGATCTCCCACTGAGACAAAAGGGCGGGACAGAGAAGTCTATGCCTGTGACTGGAAGAATAGTTGGGGAGGTGACAAAAACAAGCAAGCTGGGCCTGCCGAGTGGCTTGATCTTCTGAGGAAGTGGGGAAAGGGACCAGGAGCACCTGTGCAGCTGGCTTTACGAACTGGGACGAACCAGTTTGTGCCCATCTCTACTAGCTACTGATTCTGACATGTAATATGTCAGAATCAGTGGCCATTGGGACGAACCAGTTCATGCCCATCTCTACGAGCTACTTGATAATATTACATGTCAGAATCAGTGGCCGTAATTATGTTGCTTAGTGTAGTAAATTGCATTAGAATAGGCTCATTGAATCCATGGAGATTTGGTGAGTCAATTCCTTCATAAACTCCATGGATTCAAATGGGTCTATGCTAACTTAGTATAGTAAGTTACAGTTAGAGTAGATCCAATTGAAACAATGGTGTGTAGAGATGAGTTGACTGACTAAATCCCCATTGATTCAGTGGGCTTACTTTAGTGCGATTTACTATGTATTATTGGACAGAGAAATAATAAACTACACTGCAGTGAAGCATAGCAGCATAGAATCAACCAGCTAATAATGCGCCCCAGCTAGGCAGAAATCCATCTGACATGAAAAAAAAATTCTTTCCCAGCCTCTTGCAATGAACAGCATATGCCTGAACACCCTTGAAGCACATGGAGTGGCTGGCTAGGTCACTTTGCCCCCTTGGAGAAAGAAGAGGGCAAGCAGCTATCCCTTAATAAGACCAGTGTGAAGTGGGGGGATCCCATGAGACTTCAGGTTTTTGGATCTGAGAGTGTGCAACATAACCATGTCCTCTGCGTCCACCTCTCCTTCCCAAGGTAGATTGGAGGCAGCCAACACATCAATGTTACTCCCCCTTGCCTCCCTTCAACTTCTGCTGCCTATGCCATTCCACTGTTAAGATGTCTGTTACTTTCCTACTGCTGAAGATTGCTCCTTAAAGTGTGCAGTTTTAAGGAGAGGACATTCTGCTTAAGAGAGGATGTTCAGAGACCATGCAGTGGTATTTATTGGTATTTTCATATTCCGTGCCTTAGGAGGGTATCCCCATTACTCCATCAGATCAGCAGAAAACAATGTCAGGGCTATGATTAATAATAATAAAAAAAGTGAAAGTAACATTGAAAGGATTTTTGTGGAATGGGAGTTGCTCCTGAGTAAGCGTTATGAAAGAAAACTTCCATGGTGAAGTGAGGAGCTGGGTGATAGAATTTCTACCAAGTCATGGAAAAGTTATGGAGTTATTTAATTGCTCTACATATTTTAAAGGGATTTCCCTCACTTTCAAATGCAAAAAACAACTATAAACAATAGAGACTATCCAACAGTACTTTCTTCCAAAGTTAAAACCATGCAGTTTTGGAGTCTTTTAAACAAAACTGATTTGTCCAACTTTTAAATGGAAGTTTTGGCACTACAGTTCACTTCCTTGTACGCTCAGAGAAACATAAACTGAAATTAACACTAGCTTCAGGAGAAGGAATCTGTAGCGGGAGAAAGTCTCTAGCATTCCTTAATCCTGGAAGCAAAAATCCTGTGTGCATCTATTTGGAAAGAAATCCCATTGAGTTTGCTGAGACTTGCTCCTGAGTACATTCTGGATCGGATTCCAGCCTTACCCATGTTCATGGGCTCAGTGAGCACATTTTACTCCAGCGTAGTGTGAACTTTTGAAAATGTGCTTTTAAAAAACGCAAATTTATCTGGCATGTAGGTGAGTGTTGGTGCCTTCTTAGGAGGGTGACTAAAGGGTGTAGAATTAGTTGCTTCTAATTAAGCAATAAGTCCAGACAAGACATGCTTTACGAAGCAGCTGGTACATGTCTGGAGTGCCTTTAAGAGGTTTTTTTAGGCCAAAGGATAGTGCATTTCACTCACTCACCCAAGAGGCTGTGGTGTGCCTAAATGCTCTTAAAAACATGGGGCTGTGTTCGGCCAAATGAGGATTTTTATAATTCAATTATTGGTTGGGGGGAGGCGGGGTCTTGGGCCTTCACATCTGGACTGCTAAAAATTAGCATGTGTATGTTAGAATGGCTCCATAAGAAATACTTAACTATTGTCAGCAGTCACCATTGTGAGGTCAGATAGTATCATGATGGGGAAAGTATTTGGGATGTTTTAATTGAACGATCATGCTTGCTACCATATTTTTGCTTGCATCTAATGACCCATGACATACAGAAAAGTAGAAGATTAATGCTGAAAGAGGGTTTTAAGACCAGGAAATAGCGGGTTAATGATGCAATCCTATGCCTGCCTGCTGAGATTTAAGCCCCATTAAGAAAAAATGAAATAAAAAATTCATATGCAGGTAGTACCTTTACTGGGAGCAACTGTGGTTCTACAGGTATATGCAGGCTTTTGAATTCTTCAGAATTCTTCACCAGTTGAAGTGATACAAAAAGAGAGGATTTATTTTTATTGCCTATCCTGATGAAGAGTTCTTGATATCTTGAAAGCATACACACTCTGTAGAGTTATAGTTGGTTCTCATAAATGTATTGCTTGCCTGTAGGCTTTGTATTTTGTTTTGTTCTCTGGGACTCTCTCTCTCTCTCACACACACAAGTCTTCCTTTTTCCCTTAAGTGAAACTGCTCTTGGGTATTGAGGCGCAAAGTGGCAGCCTAGGTTCAGAGTCACATTTACTCGGAGGCAGGCCTAACTGAACATAATGGGAATAAAAGTGCACAGACTTGAGGTGTTACGGAGTTCAAGTGTAAAATTAAGAGGGAACAGGAAATATTTCTAACCTTTCCCCGACCCAGTGCCTTCCAGGAGAGTTGGACCACTTGACGTTTATGCGGTCTGTTGTCTTAGCGCTAGAAAGAACAGGGTGGAGAAAAGTCATATTCATAATGAATTTAGCAATTTGCTAGCTTGAGGAATAGCTAATAACTCCCCATTTTGACCTCCTGAGACAAAAGATAGAAAAGTGTGGCCTGCTAGATGTTCTTAGACTTCATTACCCATCGATCCTAGCCATCCTAAACAACCAAAAGGGTTTAATGAAATTTGCCATCCATCACAGTTGAAGGTCTACACGTTCCCCTGCCATAGCTCTCATATGTTCTTCCCTGTTTGCTATGGCCAACTTGCCTCTTAAACCGGTTCCCAGTGCTTAGCCTGTAGGCCTGCTGCCTCCCTGGCATTCCTGTTTCCTTTCTTCACTTTATTCTCAGTGTCCTGTGGACCAGGCAGCCACCTAGAGGCTTCCAACAGTGTCTCTTTGGTCCAGAGGATGCTCCGGAAGCAAGTGTCCTGTGGACCAGGCAGCCACCTAGAGAACAGCGTCTCTTTGGTCCAGAGGATGCTCTGGAAGCAGAGGTGGGGAATTGAACTATGTGAATGGTGATGCTGTTTAGCATCTTGTTCTGAAGCTGACACCATAGTCTGGTCCATCAGCAGTTCATACACACAAGGCCATCCTGCATGTATGCCCGGACGTCGTAACATAAAATATCACAAACCTTAGCTCTTGAAGTAGGAGGTGATTCACCCCAAAATGTTGGGGGATGTCTCCTTTCCCAGTCATAAGCCACTCTTGAAAAGATCTGTTCCCATGTTAAAATATACATAGCTTACAAAACATGGTGAAATACTTAACATGGACATTATTATATTGAAGTTCTGGAGTTTTCATCAGTGTTGATTTGTTTTATTCCTCTCTTTTTTCAGGTAGAGGTCGTAAGGTAAGTCTTAATATTTTCATTCCTCTCATTTAATGTTTCAGATAACTTCCATTGTTGTGTTCAGTTCAATGAATCTTGAGGGACTATAAATACGACTTTTCTCACAATTGTATTAACCCCGAAGAGAGGACACTCAGCCGCTTCTTGAGGATGCATAGGTGGCAGGGCATGTCATGCCCTCAACTACACATGCTGTGGATTACCTGATCAGGCCCGTCTGCCAAGAGGTCCGTTGTTGATTTGGACTCATAGCCTCTGGGTCTGTAACCACATGCTTCAACCCCCTGAGCTATGCCAGCCATCTTGCTGCTTTATACTTTCCACCATTGCAGTGGCTGTGCAGGATCAGGTCTTTAGGATTTCTGTGGTGTGTGTGGTTTTTGAGCACACAGTGTTCTGCCACATTGCCAGATGACTTTATAGATGCTTGGCCCAGTTTAAAAATTTTTTAAAAAATATTTGCACAATTTAAAATATTTGCACTTCTCTTTGATAATTATTCTGAGAGCAGCTAAAAATAAAACAATTATAATTTATGAAACATAGCATAACAACAACATAAAAAATCCAGAGTAGCTCTAAAAAACCATCACAAGCAGAAGAAAAGGCAGGTTCAACCAAGGTTTAAGAAGGGCTGAGAAGATAACCATCTGCTGCTTGAAGAAAAAAATATGAACGTGGGTGCAAGGTGGGTCTTCCTGTGGGGAGCATGACAAAAATGGGGCATGGGGTTTACAAAGGCAGTAGAAATTAGCAAGCGCGTGAACTTGTGAACTCCCAAAGCCATGACAGAGCAAGAAAACAATTTTGCTTTCAGAACCATTGAGATAGGCAGCCCAACGCCATGGGTGTTGAAACTTTTACCTGGTGCGTATAACAAAGAGCAGAGATAAGTATTCCCACACCCTAGCTAGGCGAGTATGTAGGATTCCCCTCTCCTCTTCCCCATTTGCTGTCATCTGCTTCATTTTTGAAAACTTTGAGAAGGTGGGGGAAGACTACGAAACAGGTTGACTTGTAACTTTGCATTGGGCATCCGCTCAAGGTCATGTGTACCCTCCCCTGAGCAAGAGGATCTCGGCTAGAGACACCCTTCTCTGTAGTCGTTTTGGGAGCCCCATGGCAGCAAGAACAGAGGAGCTCTCCTTTAGTCCATCCCCTAGTGTAGTTATATCCTGTGATACAAATGGCTTGCGTTCTCCCCAACAAGCGTTCAGATCTGATTACTGGAGGAGATCAGACCTCAAGATGAATCCTGAAGGTGCCACAAAGGAGAAAGACCCATACATCAGTCATCCGACTTCAGAGACTGGGGAGGAGACTGTGATCTAGCATGGAGTCCTTGTGCAAGATCTCACAGCACAGGCAAGCACAAGCTGTAGCTGCCTAAATCTTGGTGAACTGAAAGGTATATCTAAAAGAGGAAGCTGTTTGAGGCTGTGTAGTCCCTTTGGAGCACAGAGAGACTGCTGGGTTTTCCTTTTTTTTTTAATGAAGAAAATGTGATGGACGAGAAAAGTGCAGTGTTTTGCTGGCTTTTTCCAGCAGAAACACTGTCACCCATAGACATGGCCAGGATGGGTCTGTCCTTAATATTAAATGACGGCGCACGTTCTAATGGTACGGAAGGCCCTTGGGTGGTTTTAGGTAAGCTTTTGTGTGTGTTTGCTTTTAGCTCTCCCGCTAGCTTGTCGTTATGCCCTTTTATGTGGAATGTGCCATGCTGAAAAGGGAAAGCTTTAGTAATACAGTATTGCGTTAACAGACAAATTTCATTTCCTGTCTTACAGGGTCAAAAAGGAGAACCTGGAGTTGTACCAGTGGTAAGTTGTTGGGTTGCCATTCTGCTTGTCATTGAGAAGCACTTTTAGGAGGTTATGTATCAGGGAAAATGGGTTCCTATCAAACTCGTCTTACCCTCCCCTGTGGAGGCTTCTCAAATCTACAACATTCCCATTTGGCCTGCAAAGAGTCCAAATGAGGTCTAGCCTTTAAGCTTTGTCACCCCAATGAATATCATCGCTTTTGCTACTGGAAAGATAAAAATTTTAATAGTTGATTGTTTCCCTACAGTTACTGCTTTGCCTTCCTATGGCATACATCCTTATTTTGCATTGCATCCTTCTTTCTAGTACCATTCACCCTCCCAAAGATGGCTTAGAATAAAACACAGATAGTTCTTCACTGGTTTCCATGAAAAACAGTCTTGTGATGAAGTTTTAAAGATGGACAATATGCATTGTGGCATAACAATTTGTAAACGGGTTCAGAGCACACGTCATCCAAGGTAGTGTTCTAAGAGCTGCGTTGTGTCACACAAGCACTTGAGCCTTATTTAGTGTGTACTCTATCTGTTTACTTTAGCACAGGAGGAGGCAGGCCCTGCCCACCACTATCCCTTTCCTCACACAGTGATCTGCTAGTCACAAAGAGACTCTCTCCACACAAGCAAGAACCCCAGCTTTTTTCAGTTCGTGCTCATGGGAAAAGTCAAAATGAGAGACCAGGTCCCTGGGTGTAGCATGATGTAAATAATCTTTATTTTGGTTCTAAAATACTAAGCGCATTTCAGCACACAGGCCTTCTTCAAAAGCTGTATATAAAATTAAATATGAATTAGTTTGTAAACACCAAACTTAGGACAACTGTAACTGTCTATAATTAATACTCATTAGTACAACTTCTAATAATGGTAGTCAACCAATATGAAATGATAACAACCTTTGTGATACGTGCCAAGATTTTAGAAACAAAACTTCCTTAGCTCATTCGGTCTGTGCCAGGTGCAGCCACTGATCTAAAGCACTAAGACCTTAAAGATCATGCCAGGAAAAACTTGAGTGCATATTCATTGATATGATATTGCCTGTATGGATATGAAAATGAGCATTGGTTATTTTTAAATCAGAGTAAAGATTATTTACATCATTCTACATCCTGCGACCTGGTCTCTCATGTTGACTGCTGCTATCATTGGACGTACCAGTTCCTTTCATTTCTGTTCCTTGTTCATGGGGACGGCTCATGTGAAAATAGGAACACCTCCTGTTGGCTTTCTCAGGAAGACAGTGCCAACAGAGTGTGAAGGAGCCAGGTGCCTGCCTCTTTCCATGTTGGGCTGAGTGGATATGGCAACAATGAAATAGGGCTATACACATGGATAAGGGGGAAATCGTATGCATTTGAATCGAAGAGAAATGGAATTCAGGAGATAAGCCAGGGTTCATTGTCTTGTGTGCAGTGGAATATAACATTAATACAAACTGGGTTTATAACAATAGGTAGTAGAGCAAAGGGGGAAATTGACTTTTTTTTTAACCAATGTGTGAGAGGGAAGTCATGATGAACACTAGCTCAGTTTTTGATTCAAAGTAGTGGGATGGTTCCATAGATCTGTTGCACTTTTGCAGCATGTGGTTGTAAAAGATCTGGAGGATGAGAGTCATGAGTTTTGTAAAGGGTGACCTCTACAGAATATCTCTCCTCAGACCTGGCATCCCTGCTCTGCCTGAGAGATGAGAGCCGTGGGTAGAGGAGCTGTATCATATCTGCTAATACTGGGAGAGACTGAAGTAGGGGGCAAAGCTTATGAAGAAGAGAGAGGTTTAAGGAAGATCCCACAAGCGTACATTAACTCATATTTTTACGACTAGGTTAGAACTGGAAGTGTCAGCCACATTCATCCTGCAGCTTCCTTTGTACATTTAGGTGTAGAAAGTCCACTGTTTCTGCAGAATGTCATGTCAGGTCTTCTTCAGATAATACGTGAGCTTGGATTTGCTACTGAATAAAGGTTTGGTATTATTGAGCAACTCATTGCAGGAGGCCACCAGCCGAGCCCTTAACGCAGCTGTCTTTTGACATGTTGTCTCTCAGCAAGCGAGCAATGACAGGGTCAAGGAGAAAGAGCAGTCATCCCTGCTTGACCTACTTTATTCCTCTGCATGATGATGCATGTTGGGTCCAGAGAAGGAGGATAAGAAGTGACAGTAAGGATGATGTGGCTGTTTACAGAGGTCCCATGCCAACAGCATCTTGTCAAAGTCCCCTATTCCTCAACAAGAACTGAGCCAACATATGTGGGATGTGGCTTCTATTAAATATGGGGGCATGCAAGGGAAGTATGGGAGAATGGACAATTACTGTGTCCCTAAAATAACAACTTCTGTGATTTTTTTTCATTTGTACTTACTGTTTTCCCATCTTTTGTGGCTTCTGCTGAAACTCCATATGTTTATGGTGCTGCTGTAGAGAGATGGCATAACTGATGATAATCATGCTGAGGATGCAAATTATTAAAACTTGTCTGTATTATTTCCATAGGTTACTGGCATAAGAGGGCGGTCTGGACCAGCTGTAAGTAATGAATATCTCTGATATTATTTGAAGAGATTTTCAATGCTTCCCTATTATTCTATCATGTTCTAGGGACTGTTTAATTATCCATTTTCCAAATCTATATATACCAGTCACTTTCTTCCTATCTTGGGCAGCTACTCTTTACATCTTTCTCCAGCTGGTTTTCTTCTACTTAGTGATCACCAGTGTGATCAATCTTGTCTGTATGTTTTGTGTATGAGGTGTATCATATAACTTCCATATCTGCCTTCCTACTTCTTTTTCTTTAAATTTAGAGTTTCTGTATAATATTCAGAAAGACTCCAGTTTCCCAATGTGTTTTCTAGTGGTATTCCCACTTGTTGAGTTCCCATGTGAATGTTTAAATGTGCAAACATGTGCCTATTTGTGTTTAGAAGACACAATCTAGAGCAATGGTTCCCAACGTTGGGTCCCAAGGTGTTTTTTTGGATTGTGACACACAGAAGCCTTCACCGCTAGCTGTGCTGGCCAAGGTTTTTGGGAGATGTAATCCAAGAATATCTGGGGACCCAAAGTTGTGAACTCCTGATCTGGAGGAAGGTTGGGATGGGGAATTGCTGGACCAGGGAAGATGGAAAAAAAGAAACAAATACTTTGTGCTTATCCCATGAATCTGTGTTCTAAATTTCTCTCCAAGAATATCTGGGGACCCAAAGTTGTGAACTCCTGATCTGGAGGAAGGTTGGGGTGGGGAGTTGCTGGACCAGGGAAGATGGAAAAAAGAAACAAATACTTTGTGCTTATCCCATGAATCTGTTTTCTAAATTTCTCTGTCCCTAAGTAACTTTTTTCTAACAAACTCCACCATCTTGGTGTTGGTCCTTGCATTTGAATGTTGCATTCCCTTTAATTTTCAGCGCCTCTGGGCAGGGGTCCGTCTCTCTCTTGCACAACTCTGTTCCCCCCCCCTGTGTGACTCCACCCACCACCTGGGGTTCTGTTGTAACTGGAACCAAAGGGATGGAAACAATTGCTTTAGGTGCACGGAAGAGGAGGACCACTGCTGGGGGCGGGGGGGGGGAAGAGTTGCTTGTGCAGCAACACACCTTAGAGGGAACCTTGAATGTGATGGTTTTTCTCATGCTGACTGACAACAATTTCATTGATAAGGAATGATCATATATATTCAGAGTTAGAAGAGTAGCTGTCAATGAGAATGCAACTAAGCAAAGCAAAACAAGAGTAGCCTCAGATCTCCCAAACCAAAACCATAGGAGGCTCCTCAGAACGATGAAGTCTTTTGAAGAAAGGAGGTTATATCTACACTGCACAGTAACAGGACTGAACTAAACTTGCCCTGACTCTGTCCTAAGGATTCCTAGGATCTGCTTAGAATTCCCTGCTGTAGTTCAGGGGAGTCCATGAGAGGTCATTAGCAGCAAATCCCTCTCTGTAGGATTCTGGAATCATGACCTTAAAATGATATAAAATGGCTGTAACTTGTATAGTGTAGAGATCTCTGAACAATTCTCCAAAGGTAAATATCCAGTATTCTTGTACTTGTATGCATATATTTTGTCATACATCATAACTTTTTAAAAATTAGTTTTAGGGTCCTGTTATTTTGTCCTCATCTGGTGCTAAATATAGAGATTCATGAATCCAAATTCAGCAGAGATCCATCGAAGTGAAGGTCAACCGTTGCGTATGGGAGTCTGCCGCCCATATCAGCTTTGCCAAGGAAGAGTTAGGCATGCTTTCCACCAATTTGGCTTGAAACAGAAGGTGCCAGATCATATTTTATACCAGACTTGCCCACGGCGGGAGTAGAAATTTAGCACATCTGGAAGGCAGGATGGAACAGTCTGCTCTAGGACCCACTGTTCTGCTGTCCAACATTGATGCAATTCCTTGCTGTTCTGCATGATCTTACAGCATGACTAGGCTACACCTAGCGTTCTTCTGCAGCTTCACACTGCAGGAGAAGAGTAACAATGGTGGGCAAAGGGATTTTCACAGAAGCTTCTGGGCACATTGGCTACTGTCAGTAGCCTTCTGAAAGCATCCCTGAAAGATTATTTGAAAATCGCTATGTCACTGATTGGGTAGCAAAAAGTGTGGCCCCAAATTAAAGGAGCAAATCCTTTTACCAACATGTCCATGCTATGTTTCATGACAGAGATTGTTACTGAAATTTAATTGTTAAGGTGCATTATCCCCATTGTCTCATTTCAAGACTGTAGGCATGTCCATAACTGTTCTCATCATTGCTTTAGGGACCTCCAGGATCACAAGGACCAAGAGGATCCCGAGGACCAAAAGGAAGACCTGTAAGTTGTTCAGTGTTATTTCAGGAAGCTTACGTGATCCCTTGAAGTGTCCTCACATTACTCAAGGAGATGCAACCAGGATGGAAGAGACTTTTGTCCCTGTTTGGTTTTGATCAGAAGTTCCCAACATTTGCAAAATTCAAATGTGGGAGAAAGCAAAATGGACAGATTTTGTCTAGAGGGATAGTTAGGCATAGCTTCCTTCTGGGAGAAGACACCACTGGAGTCTGATGGCTGCTTGCAGTATTTGGGGGCATAAATGGGAAGGAGCTGCATACAGCACTTAACAGGAGATCCAGTCCTCTACTATCCAAATTATCCCCAGAGACAAGTAGCTGTGTGGTCCCTTCCATAACTCGGTTTCATATTCTCCCTCTTTATGTTTTCTCTCTCTTCCAAACTAGTTTATTTCACAGCTACAGGAGTGTGGAGGCGAGAGAAGAATAAGTAATTTCTCCCAAAGAAATTTCAGAATCCCAGGGTGATCAAGAACTGATCCTCTAACATTTAATTTCCATTAGAATAAAAAATTGCCACACATCCTCTTGAGCCATTTCCTGTAGTTCCCCCACTGGCCAGAACCACTTTGTCTATTTTTGTAACACCATAAATAGTAGAGAAGGAATTGGGTTACATTTCCAAATATGATGACGGTACATTGGAGATCAATCCAATTGAAGGGAATTGGGCATGTAAGTAAAAAAACAACAACTTAGGATCAGATTCCCAGCTGTTTGATCAGGTAACCTGACAATTTAAAAAACTCAGAATTTGGTGTTTGTTAGAAAGCTAAGAATTAGTAGTTTAATATTTCTTTTGAAAAACGTTTCTAACGGATGTTGGCAGGAATTAGATTCAGTATATTTTTGTATCACATATGCTTCAAGAAAATTCAGGAGTTTTGTGTGTTGGGTACTACAGGCAGTGTTGTGGGTAGAGTGTCCACATAAAGAGCAGAACTGTGATGCAGGGAAACAAGCTAAGTAAAATAGCCAAAATGTATATAAGTTGCTTAGAAACACCTCACCATCCACCTCTGAATTTCTACAATTATGATGTTTCTTTTAATCAGAAAGGAAAACATTGGAGGTTATAGTTCAACATGGCCTTATAGGCCACAATCTAGAGTGTCTATGAGTAGTCAGGCAAAAAGCAGGCTGAGGTAAAAACTCTCACCACTCCCCTTGTAAAGACAACTTTTCCATTTGGTTTGGTGACTGTAATTCAGTAGGATAGTTCTGGAAATATTGCAGATTTTGTGAGCAGGGAATGAAGTGGCCAATGTAACAAGCATTCATGATTTTGTTTTTCTTTCTCAGTATGTTGTTGACAGTTTGGGACATAATGTGGGTTTGGGACACAATGTGGGTTTTGGTAATGCAAAAAAGATTTGTTACATTGGCAAAAAACAATGCACAAAAAGATGTATTTTGCATTAAAAACCCATATTTTACGCAAAGCAAAGGGGCCGCATGATAGGTTGTGCAGCTGTTTGCTGCTAGGTTTTGTGCAAACACACAGGTCATATATGACAAACCATTCTCCCAATCGTTTCCTAAAAATTTCTAAAATATGAAAAATGCACAACCCTCTCTTACTAGGAAGAAAATGTTTGAATATTTTGTTCTTCTTCCCTATGAGAATGAAATAAATAGAGATTTCCCTGGTGATACTAAGTATGGACTTGTGAGTGCACTTTTTTCAGCATAAGAGAAACGGTAGTGAATGCAGGAAGTAACAGGTGTGAAGCCCTATCGGTGAGATTTAGCCATGTTGGACCAACAACACTTATATCATTGCAGGGTCCGTGGATTCTTCCAGATGAATCTTTTATTATACAGCCATCTTGCCTCATTTATGAAATTCTTCAGGAAGTCTAAACAGTATTGTTTTCCATGTGTGCAACCCATAAATTCTCCTACTGCTGTTTGTGTCCTTTCCCCCCTTCTCTATTAAGAAGGAAACAACAAATATATATGGAATCATTTTTGGTTGGTGAAACTTTCTTTATAAGTCCATTAGTGCACTGGATGCACCCGGTACTTTCTTGAATTCACTATGGCCCTACAAAATGTTACTAACTTGGTTTGGGAGGAACAACAGAGCCCAGTGCCCCCTGCACTGTCGTTTTCTCCATGGAAATGATGGCACATTTGAAGAAAAAGTGCGTCTTATGGTGCGAAAAATATATGGAATCATTTTTGGTTGGTGAGACTTTCTTTATGAGTCTATTAGTGCACTGGATGCACCTGATACTTTCTTGAATTCTCTATGGCCCTACAAAATGTTACTCACTTGGTTTGGGAGGAATAACAGAGCCCAGTGCCTCCTGCGCTGTCGTTCTCTCCATGGAAATGATGGCAAATTTGAAGAGATTCCTGCCTGCCTGTAGACTCTACTTTCGAGTAAGAACTCTGGAAAATATTGGCTTTTTGCTTCTGTGTAGAGTCTACATGCAGGAAGTCACCTTCCTTCTTTAGACTCCTTGTTGATTGCACGAATTTATTTATTTATTTATTTAATTTATACCCCACCTATCTGATCGGTGAGGACCACTCTAGGCGGGGTATAAGAACTCTGGAAAATATTGGCTTTTTGCTTGTGTGTAGAGTCTACATGCAGGAAGGCACCTTCCTTTTTTTAGACTCCTTGTTGATTGCATGAAGAAAACAGCTAGTGATTCAATAATGTCTGATTAGGGCTCGAGTTATTGTATGGGCGCAGTGTAATGGTATCAACAGCAAAGGAGCAAATGAAAAACATTATGGCTGAATTTCTCTGCTACAGATTAAGAGCGTCCAGAATTTGGAATGCAGTTTCATGTCTGTCTATGATACTCCTTCGAAGTTCTTCCTACACCAGGGATATTAAAGGCCCCCATTCAGGGAAATTCAAGCTAATTCAGTTCCAAGCTAACAGTCCTTGTTCCTCTCAGTGCCCCAGATTGCAATCCTGTTCTAGGAAAACCCATTGGAGACTTGTAGCGACCGTACCAGATCTAGAGCAGGAGTGGGGAATCTGTGAGCCTCCAACTATTGCTGACTGGATTACCCATTAATCCCAATGGAAGTGCAGGCCAACGACAGCTGCAACACACCCTGTCCGTGGTCTAAAGCAGTGGTTCTTAACCTTTGTTACTCGGATGCTTTTGAACTGCAACTCCCAGAAACCCCAGTCAGGACAGCTGGTGGTGAAGGCTTTTGGGAGTTGCAGTCCAAAACTCCTGAGTAACCCAAGGTTAAGAACCAATGGTCTAAAGGCTAGAACTTGACAGGGCTGATCTCCCATTCAGTTATGCCTAGAAATTCTGCTAGATAGCGTCCAGTGATGAAGTAGGAGTTCTTAATAAGGAATGTGGGATTCTGTGTGTGCAGAATTTCACAAGTAGATTTGAATGAGCCGTGTAATTCGTTGGCTACAGAGATTTAGTCATGCTGTTGTCCGTCCATTATCTGCTGTAGCACCAAAATGATTATGATGATAAAAGAGTAACAGAGGAATGGAGTGCCACCTAGTGGCTTTCTATGGAAAGTTCTTGATTGCAATGTGCATTGCATTCTGGGAGATATTGACATAAGCAGCACAGCTGACTTCTAGATAGTGCAGAGTTTTACAAGTAATGTCTTCTTCTCTGGTTTGATCCTTGAATGTCTTTTGCAGTAAGCATGTTTATGGATATAAAGACTCTGAGGCCAGAAGCAGATGCTAGAGTCAGCCCATGTCTGGAAGAGGAGAGATATTTTTAAGATTAGTTTTTTCAGGATGTAAGCAGAGAGTCCCTTTTAAGTGTGACTTCACAAACATGGCAAGACAGTCTGAACTGCTCTTCTTAAGCAGTAAAGTGCTCTTTGCTCTAATTACGGGATATTTCTAATATTTGTTCAGGTCTTGATTTTTGTATGTTTCTTCAAATTCCACCTACATTTTCTTCCCTTCCTTTTTTTTGGGGGGGGGAATTAGGTTGCAAGAGCTTGGGGTTGTTTTTCTCCCCACATGGAAAAGTGGGCAAATTTTTTGCTTCAAGTATGCATTTATTTGTGCATTTTGCCCAGGGTGCGAATTTATTTATGGATTAACTGAAACTGATTTGTGTATGTTCTTTGAATTACACACATGTTTCCTTTTCCATGTTAAAATGTGCCTAATGGTCGTGGACACGTATTTTATTTTTCAAAACAGCATTGTTTTCTACACAAGCCTTGTGAATGAGGAAGGTCTTGAGATGTATCCTTCTTATGTGTCTTGGCAGGTGAAGAAGTGCCCCATTAATTGGGAATGTCAAATTCAGTGAATTTTATTCAATCCCCAACCAGGCCATTGTTGTTCATATGTTAAATGTTTGTTTTTTTGAAAACTGTGAGAGACCATTATCACTTTCAGCCCCTCACCTTTGTAGATTGTGCATTCATCTTTGTACATTGTGATAGTAACCCATACTCTTAAGAGTTTTGACGGAGGGAACATTGGAGAAGCATTGTGCTAAATATTCTGTCAAAAAGGTGACACATAATTTTATTTTATTTTATTTTTATTTTAATACTGCCTATCTAGTGTAAGGCCGCTCTGGGCGATTCACAACATGATCAAACAGTAAACAGTACTACAATTATAAAATAAAATTGACAAATAAGCATCATAAAATAAAACAATAATCAAACAATTATAAATTAACAATTAAGCTGTTTACAATTACAAATGGGACGTGCAAAATCAAGGATGAATAAGTTTGACCCTCCTCTAACTGTGGACTACTGCATCCTTAGCTAGCAAAGGCAGTAGTGAGGAATCATAATAAAATAGACAAAAACCTTGTGACACCTTAAAGAGTCTTATATTTTAATGTGGACAAGTCTACTTCTTCAGACATATGAGGTAAAATACAGAGTTCACACAGCAAAACATTCATACCTGGCTTTAAGAGATAGTGATGTATAGTTGCATTTCACACATGTAGTAATTTATGACTTATGTTTAGTGTTCAGTTCTTTTGAAATCTGATTTTGTCATTCCCACAAAAGACAGAAAACAAAAGAAAAGGCAAAATCGAAAAAAAAAGAGGGAAAGGGGTGTTTGTGGTATCTTAAAGACCAGCTGTAAGCAGTAACATGATTGAAGGAGACAGCAGAGGAACAATGTGTTAATATAGAGAGTATTAACAGTTTTTACTTTTGAGTCTTGTACTGAAAGATGAGTCTGGTATTTGTGAAGGAAAATAAGAGTAGATAATAGCATAAATTACATTTGGCAATGACTTAAGAAGCCTTGACTGATATTTATATGGGTGTCCATTGCATATTAATTGTATCACAGCTGTTTCCTTCTGTATTCTTCTTCTGTAGCATTTCTTTTCTAGAATAGCAGACTTTAATATCTTGTGAAGTGTGTTCTGGTATACCTAAATGGCAGGAGACAGGTTTCTGTGTATTGCCGTTTCTGATGTCTGATTTATATCCACTGATCGTTTTGCGTAGATATTGTCCTGTTTGTCCTATGTGATGTGCAGAGGGACATTGGGAAAAGATAGCACAGATCATATTAGCTGAGGAACAAGTGAAGGTCTCTCTGGTGTTGTGTTTGACATTCTTAGGCCCTATTTAACAAATATGTTGGCTCTGGGATTCTGGGAGGTGTAGTGAAACTAACTTGTCCAAGGTCTGTATCTTAGTCTCAGGACTCTGTACAAAATAAGATTGAAAAAATAGTGCAAGTGTAATATTGATATTCCTGAGTAAGTAATGGTAAAAAGAGTCAAAGGTTTGGTTAGTACTTAATAATTAGAGAACAGAGCTGGAAGAGACCCTATGGATCATTAAATCCAGCCCCTTTCATCATATTCAGTAATAATCCCTTCTTGCCATGGGTATCTGGAAATCTCTCCCCCACAATCCAGATTATAGTTTAAAAACTATAGTTATTGTTTGGCTGTGCACAGGCACACTGACCAGAATCCTGTTGGTTAGTTGTGGTGGCATAAGTGTAGTGGCATGAACTGCAGCAGTGATTTGCCACCCATTAAACAGTTGCTGCTTGCATCCCCAGTGGTGAGTTAACATGCCATGAGGGAGACAAATGACAACTTGTTAAAAAGCAGTAATTTTTGATTTGCACTGCTTCAGTTTGCAACTATGTTGGTGTATCTAAGCAATAGGATTCTGGCCAGCGTGCTGTAGTGGCACACATCATGCATGCGAATTATATTAATATACAACTGTGAAGCGTTGTGCTCCCTGTCCCCCAGCACTCTTTGTTTCCTGAGGAAGATGCAGTTATGCAGCACTTATTTATTGTTCTCCTGGGCTCAGATACTCAGCTGCTAATGGACTCATTTATTCAAAGTCAAAGTGGCAGAGCAGTTCCATAAATGGAGAGAGCAATGAAGTAAATCAGGTTGTTGAATCCCCTTCAGATTTCATTCCAGACAGCTCCATAAAAATGCATCTCCTGATTTTCTAGTTTTCATTCTACTGTGTTTTGAGCAACCTGTACTGTTTTTTAAACATATGGCCCATGTAGGAAAGAGGAGGGGGGGAAAGATTCAAAATTTAATATACAAAGTTATGCCAGTATAAATCTGGGATGGTATCCCAGGCAGACAGAGTGTCTTTGTTCTGACATAAATGAAAACAGAAGCTAATGTATGCATTGTTTACATCCCTTCTCATCCCCAAATTTAGGGGACGCATGCTCATAATATTAAATCATCAGAAGTCATGTAAAGTCCACTGTGGGTATTCTCATTTATTTAACTGGCTGCGTGTTTGTGCATATCTGTTCTGACGGTGAACAGTTTTTAGAACATAGTTTAATATTGTTTGAATCTATGATGGTGAATGTTTGTCAGAGCAAATATTGTGATAAAAAAGAGTCAACCCTTAAATTCAGAATCCTTGTTAGAAAAGAATCATTTTGGAAGAATAATAACAGTCTAAATCACTCATTTGAAGTTTTTGATTTAAAGAAAACAAATCTTGTTGCAGTCTAGGAGTGACTTGTTTTGCCACTCTCCATTAAAAAGAATGGAATCTGTTCTGACATGTCAATTATTTACTAGTTCAAACCACTGTTTGAACATGTCCTACTGGAAATGGGATGATGTGATTGTGGATTGTCCAAAATATTTCGATGGGCAGAGTTGGAAATGGCATCCCCATTCGAGCACCCATGTGATGATACACAGTGCTCAAAGCCATGGGTATTTGGCACAAGAGACCAAAAATCCCACAAGCACTTCTTCCTTCTCTCACAAGCACTTTTGTTCCCTGGTAGCAAAATGTAGAAGAATGTCAAAGTAAACAGTGAGCAATCTGGATTTTTTCCATGCAACTGAACATCCATGGTTGCCTCATTTTGCCTAATAGTGGGGCCAGGCATATGAAGTCTCAATGTGAGGCCCATGCGTTTTGAAGCTAATAGCATATAGTTGTTATTGCAGAGAGAACTTCAGTGACAGGCAGCCCCTCTACAAATGTATCTAAGGTTTGAATTGGCTTTTGGACTGTGTCTGTTGGCTTATATATATATATTCAGTGAATACCTGTGCTAATTTATACAACCTCACCTTTTCAGGGCGCTCGTGGTCCTCCAGGATTAGATGGTGAACCTGGTATCCCTGGGCAACCAGGTGACCCTGGCCCGCCTGGACAGCCATCCACAGGACCAGATGGAGTGGGCAGAGTAAGTTGTTATTCATCAGTTCTGTGAAGCCATGAAACTGCTTGGTCGTCTTCTGTTCTTGCTTATGAAATGAATGCATTTGGTTGTTTTTTTTTAAAGAGACCAGGTGACATGTGAGTAGACTTCTGCTCCCACAATGGGCCTTCTTGTTCCTCCCTACACCTTCCCAGTCTGCTTCTATAGGTCTCCCAACTGAGATTTGGGAAATGGCTGCAGGAGCAGAAGGAGTCCATTTTATCTTTGGGGGTCTGCTCCACTGGCAGACAAATGCACTTATAGCCCACAGGGCTATTTGTTCTTTGCAAGGGGTTTTGATGGTCATGGGAAAGGGGTTGGTTCAGGAAACTGAGAACTTAAAAGTTGTATGTGTGGGGAGGTGGTGGAACTAATTACTGTCGGATCTGGCAGGAGGCAGGGACATTGTTACTGTAGGACCAGGAGCTGGGGGGGGAGGGAATCAATTGCCCTTCCATTAACTAAGAAGTTGGAGGAAGACGAGGAAATGGAATGCTGCATATAGGTGAAGCAGGTAGCTAAGTCAAAAAGTCTGGACGGTATATTGTCAAATGACTAGGATGAGGTGGGAAAAATGGCATTCTTGGACCTCACTCAATTAGGAAAGCTCTCTGTAGATAAGATGTTGGATGTATTCCCACTTCCATGGGATTATCATAGCTTGATTGTTTTATGACTAACTGCTAAAACTGTTTCACTACTTGCTTCTGCTCCCCAGCTCAGATCATTACAGTCGGTGTCTAAGTGCTGTTTTTTCAAAGTGTCTTGTAGAAACTGAATTTATTGGTGGCTTAATTCCTACTTCAAACTTCAAAGTACCCTTGATTCAGTGGCTCAGCCAGGGTCTATGGTGACCTGGCTAGATCAGTGAGGAAGTCAAAAGGTGACAAAAGATAATCTCCCCAACCCTCCTCTCAATCTAGGCCACATCCCCCACCACTCATCTTTGCCAGCAATGGAGGAAAATATTTAAAAGAAGCAGTGAGATGGAGCCTCCTGGCTGCAGAGCCAGAGTCTGAGAGTGTGATTCCCCAAGTACAGTATGCCTTTGTAGCAAAATTAATGAGCCTCGTGGTGCAGTGGTTAAAACGCTGTACTGCAGCTAAAACTGTGCTCACGACCTGGGGTTCAAATCCAAGGTAGCCGGCTCAAGGTTGACTCAGCCTTCTATCCTTCCGAGGTCGATAAAATGAGTACCCAGCTCGCTGGGGGGGGGCAATGTGTAGCCTGCATAATTAAATTGTAAACCGCCCAGAGAGTGCTTGTAGCACTATGGGGCAGTATATAAGTCCAATAAATAAATAAATAAATAAAACAAAAGAGCCGGTCTGTGGGGCCATGGGCACAAGTTGCATGGCCTCAAGGCATCCCCAGCGGAAGGAACCGGTGAAGCATTTCTACTCTGTACCTAAAAACCCCTTGAAATGTTCAGAATTTAGTTTGATTTGATGGAACAGCCCATTGCTAAAATCCACTGGCACAGCCTTTAGGAGTATTTTGAGGGACCATGGAAATATATGCAGCCATCAAGCCCCATCATTCTTACTCCAACATACTGTGGTGTGGGACTGTAAGAGGACAATATCAGAATAGGATTGTGCTGGATAATTCAAGACTTCAAACCTGGATTATTCTGAAAAAGAATGCCCCCCCAAAATATTTGTTTTGAATTCAGCTATATATTTTCATGGCAGTAGATATTTGATGACACCTGCTTTTCAACCAACAATTTAAAAAACATTTTTTAAAAAATCAACCATCCAAAGAAGAAATGTGAAAAGTAGACATTACTTATGTATTTATTTCATTTTTACTTGTCCAATAAAATAAATTCTTTTATTTATATAAAATTTATTCATTTATTCATTTATTCATTTATTTACTTACTTACTTACTTACTTACTTACTTACTTACTTACTTACTTACTTACTTACTTACTTACTTACTTACTTACTTACTTACTTATTTTGGTATATGTTTTAGCCTTTGAAATAAGTTATATAAAAATCCAGAATAAAACATAATAAACCCCACAGAATAAAACTAGAAGCAGCAGCTGAGATAAATATTTATTTATTTATTTATTTGTTTGTTTGTTTGTTTGTTTATTTATTTATTGCATTTATATTCCGCCTATCTGTTCATCGCGAACACTCTAGGCGGCTTACAACATAACATATAAAATAAGCATATATATAACATAATTAACATAATTAGAAATTTTTTCTCCAAGATGGCGAGAGAACAAGATAAATTATAATAGATAAAGAGGGAAGAAAAATTAAGAATTAACTGGAAGGCGGTAAGGCCTGCCTAAACATCCATGTTTTCAATAGTTTCTTAAAACTACCCAGCGAGGGAGCCGCGCGAATCTCCAGAGATAAAACAGTACAAAATGTTCTTTAAAAAGTTCCATGAGAAGGTTCTTCACCTGTTCCTAAAAAAAGCAACCCACCACTACAGGCAGGTGTTTCTGGGGAACACATTCCACACGTAAGGAAGTACCACTAAGAAGATCCTGTCAGCAACCATTTGCCTTGCCTCCTTTAGTGGGGGCATCTGGAGAAGGCCCCCAGATTGTCATCTGGGTAGGTATATGTGAGTGGAGATGCTCCTTCTGGTTATCCAGCCCCGTTTACACCAGTTTCCTCAGTAATGCTACAGATATGAATGTGTGAGGCAAAGTTTGATAGGCATATAAGACTGTGCGGTCTTCTCTGCCCAAGCCCCCTTTAAAAGGAAATATTGCGTATGGATCTTAATGTGATCTGCTTTACAGATTACATTAGATGACTCATAAAGAAGATTGCCAGGTGTCATGGTGCAGGCTGGAATTTCAGGTCATTGCTGTGTATCCTTGGGTCTCTAAGACAGGGAAATTTGCTGGAAGAGAAGGATGTTTGATGCTTGTGAGATGAGTGCTGGGCTTCACCCATTCTGAGCTGGTGCCAAGGCTCCCTGTTTCAACACCAGGATGTGTGCATATGTTTTGCACTGCCCAACTGTATTGTAGGGGCCAGAAAAACTCAGTGTGTGTCTTAATGTGTTGTATGCAAGTCTTAGAAGGAATTGTGGAAATCTCCAACTGCTTGGTGCCTTTTGCTGCTTGCCTGGTACCAAAAATATCTCTCGGGTTGCCTTGTTACCCCATTAATCCAAATTAGCCTCTTCTGTTCAAGTGTGCAGTTTGTTGACAGTGATTTTAGATCCAGCACTGACCATGGAAAAACAGGGTCCTGCCGTGACACACAGTGGATTTTTCCAACTGCAGTGCATCACCCAGCTGCACCCCTAACTGGACATTAGATTTCTAACAGCATTGGTCTGTGCACTGGTTGTCTACTTATAATGCACTCTGTGTGGGGCTTCCCTTGTGGCTGACGTGGAAGCTTCAAGATGTCCAAAAAGCAGTAGCCAGATTGATTGCCAGGTGAAGAAATATGCCATATCACCGTGATCCTGGCTAGCCTGTATTGGTTACTGCTCTGTTTCTGTGCCAGACTTAAGGTGTTGGCTCTAACATGCAAAGCCCAGAACAGTTTAGGATCTTGCTACATGTCTGACCATCTTCTGCCAAGCTGACTGTCTGTCTGACCAGGTCCTCAGAGGCAATTCACCTATGAATATCAACACTTTGAGAAACCTGGAAAACAACAACCAGAAGCCGGCACATTCCTTGTGGAATGCACTGCCATAGGAATTGTGCCAGGCACCCTCTCTCTGTGCCTTTTAAAAAGCAGGGCCTCACGGCACAGTGGTTAAACTGTAGCAAGTTAAACTCTGCTCACAGTCAGCGTTCAATACCAATAGATCTGATAGCCAGCTTGAGGTTGACTCAGCCTGCCATCCTTCTGAGGTTGGTAAAATGAGTACCTAGCCCACTCTGTGTGTGTGTGCGCGCGGGTGTGCATGTGCGTGCACATGTGTGCGTGTGCACGTGCACACACACATACACAACGTGTAGCCTGTATAATTGAAAAAGAATGCATTTTTATATTTTTGCTTTACTTTGTGTACATCCCATAGAGTAGCAGTTTGCCAGAGGGGCGGTATAAAAAATAACTAAATCACTAAATAGTGAGGTTTTAGCTTTGATTCTGGGCCCATTTCCTTGGATTTCCCTCATGGACATTTCCAGAGTCATTTGTCCCAGAAACATGTCCAACCCTCCTCCTTGTCTGTCCCACCTCTGAGGCATTGTATGCCTCCAACCCTCATCTGAGCATTTGGCCTTGAAGTCTTTCTTAGGGATACAGTGTTGCCTCACTTAATGACAATAATCTGTTCCAAGAAAATCGCCGTTAAGCAAAAACATCGTAAAGCAAAAATAAAAACCCCAATGAAATGCATTGAAACCCGTTCAGTGCATTCCAATGGGGTAAAAACTCACAGTCCAGCGAAGATTCTCCATACAGCGGCCATTTTCGCTGCCTGTATAGCGCTGAATCCATCCCTAAACACAGCGGGGAACCATTCTAATTACCTGGCGGCAATTTTGAAACCGCCAATCAGCTGTTTAAAAAACATTGTTTTGCGAAGAATCGGTTCCCAAAGGAGGGAACCGATCATCGCAAAGTGAAATTCCCCCATTTAGACCATCGTTTTGCGATCACAATTGCGATCACCAAAAGATTGTCGTAAAGCGGATTCGTTGTAATGTGGGGCAATCGTAAAGCGAGGCACCACTGTATGTGCACTAGAGTTGCAACCCTGGTGTAAAATGTACGTGTGTTTAAAGGGTAGGAGTTTGCCTGTTTGATCTTCAATCAGGTGCTTGATAGCTGGTATTAATCACATGTGACTTACTCCATCCCGTACTGGCAGGATTATTTACATCCAAGACTGGCAGATAAAACGTAAAAAATCTACTTCCCTCCCAGGTCCTTTTTTCACCTTTTGGCCTTCTCTGGATGTGAAGCATCAGGGGAAATCTGAGTCTCTCAAATTTTTTACTGTCACCATACTCATAGTTATGGACAGTTTGACAACTCCTCCTGGCTGACCATTATCATTCTGCTTTGTAAATCCTGGAAGCTTAAATGTCTATGAACGCATTGGCCTTGTTGATGATATTTATCATGCAATGCCCTGAAGTTATATGCTTTTTAAAAGGTCACCATTTCTGAAGATGGCATAATCTTATTTTAATGACCACAGAATTGACATCTGCCATCCCATTGACATTAAAAAAAATTGAAGTGTTTCCCTGAGAGTTGACTTGTAACCTTATGCTTTGGATGCCAGTGTAGAAGAAGCGGATAGTTAGACATTTTGGAGGGACAGAACCGCTTCTTGTGTGTCATGATTTCAATATGCATTGATATTTACCTCAAGCCCTTGTGACTTGCCGGAAGTTTAATTAGTGCTTCTTTAATTATAAATGGTGGTTTTTTAATTAAGTTTGAAATCATCCTTCCTCACTGTTTGTGTTGCATCCTTGAGAGAGGACAGCACCATTGTTCTCAGGGGCTTGGTAGATAACAAGGTAAGAAGCAGGGAAAATTTAATTCAGGCTCATTTCTCAAACTCATGAACCTTACAGCTCAACGAGAGGATAAGACATTTTCCTTTTAATTAAACTTGGTACACTGTTGGAAATAAATGAAATGTGGGCAGTGAGTGGAAGAAGGAATGTTGAGCACAAGTGATTAATGGCCTTTGGGATCAATTATCTTCAAAGAAAGTAAATATTGAACAGTTAGCAAAACTTAGGCAATGGCTCAGAAGTGAGGAAAAGGCCTCCCAGTAAGTACCCTGAAGCGCTATGTCATTGAGTGGAACCTGAGTGATGGTGCATCCCTATCCATTGGAGGTCTCCATCATACTTCTTGAGAGTCTTGCTGGTCACTCCATAGCCGTATTCAAGTATTTGCCTGAATGCACATATGTAGGTCTAAATTGGTGGGAGGGCCAAGGGAGCACACCAGTCCCAGAGCTGTAATGTGTCCCCAGACCTGGTGGTCTCCCAGATCTTTGCATGTTTAACAGAAAGGTCTGAAGTGGTCCCTGTAATCATATTCTCCTGTGCTTATAGAGGTTCTGGGACTAATGTCTTTGGGAAGGCTGTCTACCTAATTAGGAGAGTAATATAAGCACATTTAGCTGATCATTTGAACATGACTATGGAGGCCTCTACAGACTTCCCCTGTGCAATGGGGAGGTACAGAGAGGAGAATTGCATGCACGGCCACATGCCCACTGCCCATTTAGCCATACATGTATTCCAGCAAACACCTGAATAGGACTTCTGCAGATGTTGGAACTGAGAAGCAGCCAGCCCGGTTCTCCAGAGTGTGGCATTGGTGACTGCGTAGAGCTGTGCCAGCCCCTTTTCTATTGTAGCAACTCTGCAGCAGATAAACAGCTAGCACAAACATCGCAGGTATTTTCCCAAGGAACATGACAATAATGTGCTGCCTGGTTAAGCCTCATGGAAGCTGGAGGTGATTTGCTTCTTATGTTAAACTATTCAAGGGATGTTCACAGCACTACTAAAAATTTTTCTTCTTCTGTCACCTGCAAGGATTTCAGAAATTGTGTATGTGTTCACTTCCCCACTTCTGTCCATAATTCTGTCCATAATTTAAACTGCCACCTCAGTGGGATCAGCTTTTGTCCTTTTCAGGAGATGGGTGATTGTTTGCAGTGTCTCATGTTCTTTGATTCTGTATAGATCACTGCACACAAAGGACCAACTAACGACACCCATCAATCACAGTGACAGATAATCTCTCCCTTTTATCACAACAATACACCCACAACAAAAAACACGCTGATCACCACAATCACCCATCTCCTGAAAAGGACAAAAGCTGATCTCACAGCTATAAATACTCAACTATCCAAACAAACTGCACCAGAGCACAGACAGAGTTCTGACTCCTGTCTTCTGAAGATGCCGGCCACAGAGACTGGCGAAACGTTCGGAAGAACAACCTTCAGAACATGGCCAAAGAGCCCGAAAAACCCTCAACAACCATCAGATCCTGGCCATGAAAGCCTTTGAGCATACATTGCCACCTCAGTGTTCTAGGTTTTGTCTGCAGGTTAATTGCTGTTATTCTTACATTTACAGCCATTTACATCTCAGATGGCAGGGTTGGATGAAAAATCTGGACTCTCTGGTCAAATGGGGTTCATGCCCGGTGCAGTGGTAAGAGCATTTTTCTAACCTTTGTCTTTCTGTGTATCACAGTTTTTATTCTGATGTTTCACTTTGAAAATCAAATGTTCAGGTTCATTGAATGCTTGCCAAAGCAATCATACATATGAACAAGATTCTTCAGCCAAAAAAAAAGAAAAAGAAAAAGAAGGAAACTAACAAGAGTGAAGGGGGACTAGATAGACCTTCCTATAGAAGGATTTCCCTTGTGTCACAACTAAGTAAATCTCTTTCTCTTGTTCTTATCAATTGAGCCTCAGACAGTACTAGTGGTAGTGAAAACCTCGGAAGGACTTCTCTTCCTGTCTTTAGAGAATATGCTGGTGCATCTGTAATTTTTGTAGAGTATTGGGAGGTTAGTAAAGAATGTGGTTACTGTGTTTCTTCCATAAACTCCCATTCTTTAGTTCAGTGGTCCCCAACCTTGGGCCTCCAGATGTTATTGGACTTCAACTCCCAGAAATCCTGGCCAGCAGAGGTGGTGTTGAAGGCTTCTGGGAGTTACAGTCCAAGAACATCTGGAGGCCCAAGGTTGGGGACCACTGCTTTAGTTGCTTTCCACAATAAACCTGTTTGTTGGAGGCTACAGTCAAGGGAAATATGTAGTGAGTTCTGTGTATCCAGTCAGACTTCCACTGTGGATTTCTTAAACAGCCATTCCAGTGTCTTGTACAAGCCATTTTCAAAAACCGAGACTTGTCAATAGCGGTCCCATGTCAGTCTGCCTTAGCACATTGCCATACATAAAGGGGAAAAGGAAAAAAAGAGAAGAAAAGCAAAATATTGTGACACTTAATGGATCAAAAATCCAAGTCTTTAGACATACCATGTTTCCCCGAAAATAAGACAGGGTCTTATATTAATTTTTGCTCCAAAAACATACATTAGGACTTATTTTCAGGGGATGTTTTATTTTATGGTCCTGTCATTTTCTGGTTGCTGCACAATGGTAGAGGGTGGGGTTTCACTTAACTAGGGCTTATTTTTGGGGAAGGGCTTATATTATGAGCATCCTGAAAAATCATACTAGGGCTTATTTTCGGGTAAACAGGGTAGCACAGTATCCGAAGAAGTGAATTTTGATATGCCAGAGCTCATATGTAAATAATTCATTATTGTTTGAAATGCTATAATATTTTGAATTTTCTCCCTTTCCTTGTTTTAGTTTTCTTTTTCCACTTGGCTTTTTCCAACATAGGTAGCTGATGTTCTTCATGGGCTAGTTTTTACCAGGGTGATTAATTTGTGCCACCATGACACATGCATACATGTACACCTCCCTGCATAGAAAACAAAGCAAAGGAACTGCACTCAGATTCTTCTGTCTGATACGCTGGGTTTCTGTATGAAGAGAATGCTTCTGACCAAGTCCCAGTTTCTTATTTTTGTGAGAAATACACCTCTGTGTGAAGAAATAGGCTCATGATGTAGCATCCATGAGGCAGGATCATTTCCACCACACCCCTTTGAAATGCATTTGATTCTTTTGTTCCATCCAATCCAGCCTGTCTAATATGTGTTTGTTTCCTTCCCAATAGGGTCCTGTGGGTCCAAGAGGGCCTCCAGGTCTGACAGGACAACCCGTAAGTGCCCGTTATACAAAACCTAATACTTTGGCTGCATTCAGAAGTAAAAATAAAGTAGAGTTTACCCTCATAGGAAGAACTCATTCTGCATGGAAAAGTCAGAAGGCTTTCACTTATTTTTCTTTAATAACCACAGTTTAGTGTTCCACCCAAACACTTAAATGTAGCGAATTGTAACGGTGGCTTGTTGAAACAAACCAGATTCAAACCCCAAGATTTGAAGCTGGTTTTCTTCAATAATCCATAGTTTGTTTTGATTCAGATAAAACAACAGACAAATTGAAATTGGAAGCAAATGGTTCTGGTTTTTGGTGGCCGCACTGGAGAAAATGAGAGGGGCCAGCCCATGCACCCAAGATTTTCTATGGCCTGTTGCTGTAACAACAACAACAACAACAACATCTTCTATGTCCTTGCTGTTGTTTCTGGAAGACTTAGGGTGGGGGAAGGATTGCTTTCTTTAGTAAGTTATTCCAGTGTTAGCAGTGGTCAGTGGTGATTCCGATTTTGTCTTCATATGGATGTATTTGTAATTATGTTGATATCACATTCTCCCTTCAAGGAGCTCAAAGGAGTTTATGCCCCGTCTCTGGGCAGTGCTCCACCTAGTGTGAGATATAACATATATAACATATAACACGTCCATCCATTCTGTGATTTATCTGTTGATAATCTAATGTCTGCGATTTGGTTGGACATAGAATTATTGCTGTTGGTGCCAAATTTAGGTGAAATCTCAATAGCCTTGTAGGCCTTTGTTGGTTCCATTGGGCTCAAATGCATCTGTCTAGACCCACAGAAGGGGCCCACAGCAGAATTAATGGGTTGCTTCTGTTTTGATATCATGCCTTTTAGAGAGAAAAAAAACCAGATTTGTGACAAGTTCTAATGTATATGCTTTATATTTTAGGGTGCGAGAGGCCCTTCGGGCCCTCCAGGGGAACCTGGGGATCCAGGAGCAATGGTAAGGACTATTTTATATACACCTTGCTTAATGTTTAGAAGAGGGGGTGAATTGCGATTGAACTATCCATTAGAAACTCTCATGGGCCCGTCTTTTCTTCAGAGGTTATATGGAACAAACATGTTGACATGTTCCCTGTGAAGACTTGTGTTGACTGTATAATTGTGTTGTTTACCATGCAGTTTTGAATTATTTTGATTTTTTTGGTATGTGTGTGGAGTAATTTTCCCCTTGACATCACCTAATTTGTTAATTTAAGCATGTATCTTTTCTCCGCTAGGGACCAGCTGGTGTTCGTGGCCCAGAGGGCCCTCCAGGCAAACCTGGTGAAGATGTAAGTTTTATAATGCTTATCTTGATAGACCTTCAAACCATATGCACATGGCATAATCACATAATAATAAACGTTAGGACAATTTTAGAAGAAGAGTGCAAACCAAAACTAGCAGAAGCGCCATGCCAAAGTAGCTGCCAGTCATAAAACAAGAGGCTTTCTAAAAAAGAAAATCTTTATAGGTTTTTGAAAAGTTCTCAAAGAAGCAACAATATGAACTTCTGTATTCCCTGGGTATCAGAAGAAGAGTGCCACCACAAAGAAAGCTCTGTTTCCCATCACCTTGTTTACTTAATGTAAACCAGTTGCTTGGATGCAAAAATCATACTGTTTGAATAGAAGACTCACAACCATAGACAAGAAAGGTTAGTTGGCTAGGCAGCCACTTCAGAGGGTATGAAATTCTCAGAGCTCTCGTTCAGAATGCCAATCATTCCCACCCTGTGGAGTGAAATGATGTCTTTATTATACTCTTTGCCCTCTTGCGAATCTCTTCTAAACTAGCTGCAGTAGGTTCGAGGAGTCTACAGTCTGTTTTTGGAGGTAGGATGTAGTCACAAGAGGGAATAGTTCCTGAAGCCTTCAAATCTCTGTCTATGTACCTCTCATTTTCTGTCTGTCTGAAGGTCTGTCTCGCTGACCTACTGGGGTATCAAAAGTGCTCAGCTACTTTCCGATGCCATGTCACTCTTAGATTTGGCAGTTGTAGTCCAAGGCATCCAGATAATTGGAAGAACCCAAAACGGGCAATTTTTCATTTCTTCTCTGAACCTGGGGGCTTGAAATGTGCCCCAAACCTATTAGACCCCTAATTCCTGTAGCCCCATCTGTCCCTCAGAAAGATGCTCGTGAGCATTGGGAGATCCTCTGAAGCAAGATGGAATGTGGCACAGAGGGCTGTTATAGGGAAACTGGCAAAAATGGGATGCTTGCCTTGTATGAAAGGAAATGGTTTTCGTAAGTGCAAAGTTGCCACTGACTGCAAGTTAGTGTGTGTACTCAGTCTGTGGAGCAGTGAAAGCACATTTCCCTGCTGCTCCCCAACAGAGCCAGCTGCTACACAATGAAATAGCTTATATGGCCATGCCCATGACTGGATTCTAGTAAGTGTTTGTATTCAGCCTGCATCTAGAAACTATTTGTGTCTTGACAAACTGAACGGAAGAGAGAACTTCTTTATTACATAGGCATGTTGCTAATGAACTGCTTCCTTGTTAATTGCTTTATGTTCCTATTTTTCTTTGCATTGTTAGAATGTATATCTTGGTTAAGAAAAGCATCACAGTTCAATTACAAAATGCTTCAAAGAAAAATTAAGATGTCCTCAAGTAGGTATTTTATGATGTCGTGTTAGACAATGGGAACTCCCTGATTAGGGTATACATTTACTGATAAATAGATGGTTGGTTGGTTTGAGAACGCCACAAATAGTAACAGGTTACTTTATCTTTTTCCCTCTGTTTAGGGTGAACCTGGCAGATCAGGACAACCTGGAGAAGTTGGATTCTCAGGATCTCCAGTACGTTTTATCGACATTAATTAATTAATTCATTTGTTTATGCAGTTTTGAATTATTTTGATTCTCTCTCTCTGTGTGTGTGTGTGTGTGTACGTACGTACGTACGTACGTACATATGTATGTATGTATGTATGGATGTATGTATGTATGTATGTATGTATGTGAGGACAAGCCCTACATTAAAATCCTGGTGCCACAGAAGTCAATGGACAAATTCTGGAATGAGTCCTAAGCTCTGCTTAGACTATTAATGTGGCACCAGCGAGTAAGAAAACAGCAAGAGACCTGCATTGTATGTAGCACTTGATGGGCATGGACCCAACATTTTTCTGGTGTTGAGAGTGTGTTGAGTTTCTTGAGGGGGTGTTCCAAGGGTGTGTGTGGAGGGGAGGGGTGTAAGTAAAAGACAAGAGTGGAGAGTCTTTTCCTTGATTGAAATTGGCCCCCAGCTGTGTTGAAGTGATGTACCCATTCAGTTAGTTCCATGTGATTCCCATTGCGAAACAGTGGTGGGGGAACATTGAAATGTGTACCAGGTCTATGTCAGCAATGAGTACAGTACATTTGTGGATTTCGTAATATAGCCATAACTTGGCACTGGCATTCGTTGTATCTAGACAGACTTCCCCAGCACCCCATTAAAGCCCAGAAGTTTACCACCTTGATCAAGTTTAATTGATCTTCCTCATACAAGTGTAAATTCTCAGTGGGGCTCTGGACAACCATTCTAAAATGGTAAGCTAACCGATCAGTTTGGCTCATATCAAGAATGGAACACAATTATTTTGAAACTTTATAATAATGGGCAACCATCTGATACTACTCCAGGTATTTGTAAAATTGACTGACCTTGTAGTAAAGTTTTGGAAGTAATTGGATTTCGTTGATTTCTTTCATTTTTACCTTGGGAAAAGAGAAGAGAATTTTGAAGTCAGTAATTGCAATTTTAGGCTGGCCGTGTTGATTATTTTTTAGATAGTATTATATGGTGAGAGAGATTACCATATAGATAATGCACTCGTCTGTGAAAAATCAACAGGAAATCACAAGGCATTGTTGTGTTCTGCTTTTTACCAGCTGTAGAACTACTTTTAATTCCCACAATTCTGTCTTTTTCTTCAGACTATCATTCATGTCTTTGTTGGAACCTATTGCAGTTATTTGTTTAAAATATAAACTTACGAAGTAAAATGTTGTCTATATTCAAATACGATGCTCTACCATAGAAAGTTCAAATGTTCACTGTAGACGTGATAGCACACCAGGCTTCTATAAATGTCTCTGTTTATTTACCGTTTCCCTCAGCTTCTACCCTTCTTTTCTTCCTTTTTGTTCCCCTGAGTTCCCTCTAACATTTACCCAGAGTCCCAGCTCTCACTTCTGTGTAAAGCTATCTATTACACTTCAGTGTGATTATTAGTTTCATTGAAGACTATTATTTTGACAACATTATTTTGACAACATTTGTAGAGCTTTATTACACTTGGTTTGCCATAGCACAAGAAACTTAGGACCCTTCCAGACAGAATTATCTGTTCTACCTCTCACTTTTCTCCTTAGAAAAAATGACCTCTCTTCTCTGTTAGAAATGCATACCTCTTTGAGAGATATACTAAGAAATATTTAACAACTTTGCTTAAGGTTTTCTGCTGCAGGAGCTTAAATTTTTTTTTTGAGTGCCAGTTGAAAATTACTGATGGGAGGCTGTCACCACAGACATTAACTGCAAATGGAAAGTGCTCAATCGATAGAAAATGGAACAAAAAATAACCTGTGCTTTCTGGAGGAATAAAAGGAGTACAAAGTCACAAAAAAAAACATACTGTATGAAGTGAGATAAGAGGAATGTCATTGGGAGGGTGGGGAAAATATTAGTAGCATTGCTGCAGAACTTGGTACTTAAGAAGAACAAATGTTCTTTCTGAAGGAGCCCTAAACGAGGCTGAGGCGTATTCATTTATATACGGCTTTTTCAGCTTTCTCTTGCTTCAAGCAAGCCAAACAAAAGTTAAAGGAGCTCCATTTTTTCTGTTTGCTCTTTGCTGTTAACTCTGTGAAATAGTTTTCTGAAGGCTAACATTACATGAGATTTCAGGGCCAAAACTCAGGGCCAGGGTTTGGGTCTTTGTGAACTCACAGAAGCAAGGAATGGGAAGGAAGCAAAGCCAACACACTTACAAATAACTTTTCACTAAGCCTGCAAGCCCTGGTGCCAACAAGGATGGGCAGAGTTGAGTGTGGAGAGTTTTAAAGCTACCTCACAACCAAAAATCAAACTTTGTTCTCATCCTCTCGTGTTAGTTCCCTTGAGATTTGTCTCCTTGTTCAGAGACTTAGGGAACAGCCTTAATTCCCTGGGCTAGCGATGGTCACACAGCCTCTGTGTGACTCCTAAGGCCTTGAGACATTTAATCTTAATCACTTTCTTCCATATATAAGCAATCTTCCATATATAAGCAATCTTTATAAACAAGAAGGAAGGTAATGTCTTTTTGAGATTTGTCTCCTTGTTCAGATAATTAGGGAACAGCCTTAATTGCCTGGGCTAGCAATTGTCACACAACCTCTGTGTGACTCCTAAGGCCTTGAGACATTTAATCTTAATCACTTTCTTCCATATATAAGCAATCTTTATAAACAAGAAGGAAGGTAATGTCTTTTAAGGAATGCATTTGGCATTGATCCTTTCAATGAAAGTTATTTGTTAATAAAGTCCAAAATAAAGCGATTCCCAAACAAAAAGCATTTTAATAATATTTCTAGTGTATTTTAGGGAAATATCTCATTGAGTGATGCTAACTTTAGTATTAATATGATTTAGTGTTCCCTTGCTGCAGTATAAAATGTCAAGGGATTTTATACTGCATCAAGGGATCCCCAAGCCAGCTTGCCTTTTTTTTCAGTGTTTTCTGAGGCACTATCTGAGCTAGGTTCAGGGTAGAACACTGACAGATTTGTTATTTTAAAAAAATGCCTTAGGGTTCGTTATCCTCTGAATGATCACCTAACAGATTTGTTTAGAGAATGTCAACTATATGTTGGTAATCCTGATAAGAAACATCTCTTCCTATGTGAAAAATTTTAATGGGAACCTTTTTTGTTTGTTTCTGCATGTAAAAAGACTTTTTTCCATTATGTTGTAGTGGTTTTATGAAGAGCCATCATTTTGGATTATTGAGCATGTTGAGGTGTAACTTGGGAACTCGGTGTTCTCCTCTTCCCTGAGCTGTCCAACTCTCTGTATAACTTTGGGAGAGTCACAGTCTGCAAAAGGATGAAGTGAGAAAGAGGAGAGTCAGGCTTGTTGCCTTAGATTCATTTCCAAGGTGCAAGACGCAGTTTGGTGAAAGGAAAATGTGCAAACATCCATACGCAACTTTGAGACATGTGCATGAACATATCTTCATGAATGAAGGAAACTTGCAGGAAAATGCTTACATTTTTTTAAAAATGGCCACTAAAATGTTGAAGAGTTTTCATGTAGGAAGAAAATGTTGCGTGATCTGATATGGATGTGGAACTTGAACAGCGTGAGAAAGGTGGTGGGATGTTTAGAGATTTGAGACCATTTTTTCACATTCTTATGGCTGATGAAACTGTGGGTTGTTTCCTCCTGTTTTAGGGTGCTCGAGGTTTTCCTGGTGCGCCCGGTCTTCCAGGTCTGAAAGGCCATAGGGTAAGCGTGAATATATCTGGGTTCATGTCCAAAGACCTCAACCCTACCTTTTCTGTTAACACTTAAATTTATAATGGCTATTTGCTTCTATTCTTCTTTGTTTGGATATGTTTTCAAAACTCTCGCATTTGTGGCACAGGGGCATAAAGGACTTGAAGGCCCTAAAGGTGAAATTGGAGCCCCCGGATCTAAGGTAATTTTTTTCTTTGCCCATTTGCTTTCCAAAGGAAATGGCATTTTTCTCTTGTAGGAATTTAGAAGGTTGAAATCCTGTGACTAAGGACCTTTGAAGCAACAAAGCCTGATCCACCCCATTCGGCAGTCTCTCCACTGTCTTTGTTTATATTGTCATTATACCACATGATAGTTCAATGATAGCTGATGGTTCTTCCCATTCCTCTTGTGCCAAGAGACATCTCTTGGGCTAGGAGGCAACAGCAGGTGCTGAGAGACATCTCTTCAGCTTTGTGGGCTGGGTTCCTCATGTCCTTCTCTTTATAACCTACGGTGTGAAACCTAGAGAAGGAACATCCGCTTTTCTGTGGACGTGTCTAGTTCCAAGATGAGAAAGATGTGGAGAAGAGTGGTTTAGTCACCTGTTTCCTCCTTCTCCATTTCCCAAGAACTTTACCAGAGACTTCCTCCCTCACACCTACAATTCTCTCTTACGCAGAACCTGGAAAGTTGCTTTTAAGAAGAATGAAAGCAATGGCATACTGAAGCTATCCATGGTTGGGCACTGATGAAAGGATGGCCGGGGACCCATCATGTCAGTATATCTTAACAACAGCTTTCCAGGATCTTGTCCTTGGTCCCTTCCAGCATAGCCTTCTTCAGCAGAGCCCCATGATAGAATTAGTCTTCAAGCTTTCAGGATTCATAGCAGAAAAAGGATTTTCCTGTTAGCTCTGCATCTTGCTAAGAGGAAGCTGCTTGAATTGACCTCCGTGTGGTGGCTGTTACACTTCAGCACCTATAACGCGCATGGCCCTACCATAACAAAAAATAATGTAGCGCCTCTTCTGGATTTTCCTGGGAATGCTGTGGAAACTCTCTAACCACGGGAGGGACTTTAAATAGTTGACTGCTTTATCTATATTCTGTGGATACTGTGTAGAGCAGAATCAAGTGACTTTCCTTCTGGCACTTCTGTGGTACAGACGATCCTTAAGCAGTGCTCTTTTCCCCATGAAAGTAGACTTTGAAAAGCAAAACAGGACAACCTGATGTGATAAAGCATTTCAATGTAATGGCTTATTTCTTTATCAGTGCCAAAGTATATTCGTTGACCCATTTACTGAGGTTGTGTCTAGCTAGCACCTTCTAGTGACTAGGGCCTCCACAGCTGCCCCAAGCAGAGCGTGGAAAAGTTTCTTTTATGGAGTAAAAGCTGAAACTAAGCTTAAGCTAAAATTCTGTTGCGTAGTATATTGAGTTACAACCACAGTAGCTCCATTTGCATGAGTAGAACCTGCTCATGGAGGAGTTGACTCACCAAATCCTCACTGGTTCAGGGGGCCTACCCTGATTGTGACTTGCTTTGTTAAGGAACAGGATTTCACCCTTAGAGCGCCATAGCTGCCACAACCACTGTCCGTTCTGGCTCAAAGATTGTGGGAGTTCTGATTTTTTTTTTTAAAGCAAGTATTTCCCAGCTCTCATCCCAATTTTCTGTAGTGGAGTTTTGGGGGCATGTATAAGACAGTTTCACTTGGAACAGCAAAAAAAAAAAAAAAAAAAAGGAAAAAAAGGGGCGGAGCCATGTGGTCCTTATACACAAGAGTGGTTGATACCTTTATTCGACCTCTGCTGTGTGGATTTTTAGTGGTCCGGATAGAGAGACATCACCCATCCTCTTGTTCACTTGGAACAGCAGTTTACAGTTACCTCAGGATTTGGAATGAAAATGGCTTTCTTCTTTCTCACGACTGCAGGATGGAACTGTGGCTTCCTCCTGGCAATGGAACTGCAATGAGTAAATTTGAACGCAAGTTGATTTAGTATGGTTACTCTCGTTTTGATTCAATTTATAGGGTGAACCTGGCCCACCAGGTCAGATGGGGTCAACTGGTCCTTTGGTGAGTATCACCTGCATTATTCACTGTTCTTGTCCTTGCTTTCCACTTCCATGTTATTCTGGTGCTTTATTTGTTTTGTTTCACTGTTATCCCACCTTTCTCACAAAAGTGTGGCGCTCAGAGCAGCTTGCTAAAAAATTAATTTGAAAAGTCAAGATAAAAACACCAAACTTTATAATATTAAAATGTTATTAAATGCTAATGTGAAAACAAAACTGAATTAAAAGCAATGTAAAGGCACATCTTTATAATGTTGAAATGCTGTTAAAATGCAATATTAAAACAGAGTTGAAATCAAAGCAAACTATAAGCACCCACCCATTAGAAGTCCTTTTCTCAACTTTAATGAGGAGAATCCTATGTATATTTGTATGATAGTAGAAACAGAATCAGTCTAATTGCTGAAGAAATAACTAAGGAACATTTTGATTTCTCAGATCAACCTTCCTTGCTGTCATTTAACTGTGTATTCCTTTTGATCATCACTCCGCGTCTGACATCAGCTTATTACAATGCTTTTTCTTTCTTCCTTTTATTTTTATTTTTTAATTTTTGGCTGTAGGGTCCCCGTGGAATGGCAGGAGAAAGAGGACGCATAGGACCCCAGGGTGCTCCAGTAAGTTACATTTCCTGGCATTCTTGTCCAGTCTTTGGCTCTTCCTGTTGCCTTATATCTCTCTTGGCCTCATAGCCCTGGCTTACCCTCTTGCCTTAAAGCCATAGCAGCTGCCTCTCTTTGGGAGCAGGGGCGGGGGGGGCGTTCTTTGACCCTTCTAAGGCTTTCCCCCCTCCTCCCTAGGACAAAATATGTAGCGTAATAATCTCAGCAGATATAGCATATTTAATTTACTTCTGCTTTGCATTTATAATACAGCTAGTTTGTGGTCTGAGCAGAAGGTGGGGTACTTTACCCCAAATTTCTGGCATAAGACCCCCTTCTCATACCACAAGCTGCCTACATTAAATATGTACCTTTGTGAAAGGCTGCTTCTTGAAAGGATCACTTTTCTGCCAGACATCTCTGCAACCCATCAAGCTTCTATTTGCTTTGTACAGTGACAGTGTAAACAGAACAATAGTGGTGTTTGATGGAAACAGTTGGCCGGCATCTGCACTTGGCTGCAGGTTGTCTGAGGCGCAATCAGGTTCGGAGCAAGTGACCTTTCAGGGACCTCACATTTCCTAGTAGAGACACCAAAAACAAGAAGGGGCAGCCTCTTCCCATACATAAACAAACCACAGTACAAGGAAGGTTGACAGATAAGCCTGTTGAATTCAGGACAGATTGTGTCTGTATTAAAGACTGGGGTTGTTAAGACACACGTGTGACATTAATGCTCTGGGCATCACTGGAGGTGATAAATTTCAAGCCATGGAAACCTCTCCCTTAAAGACCAATGAAATGGGGCCACTCTTTTCTATATCCAGCTGCTTCAGTAGCACCTTGGGGCAAAATGGGACCTTCCGTCCAATGGCAAATAGTTGCAGTAGTGATACCGTGCCAGGAGAGGTAATGGATTTCAGGCCCCATAAAGTGGCAATTTGGGATATTTTCCTTGAGAGATGGGCTCCTGGCAGGTTCACAGGCTTCAGCTGATGTCCTTCTTTGCCAGGCCTTCAAGTATGAGATTTTTTGAGTTTTGCAATATTTTCTCATTGAACATGAAACACGAGAGAGATGTTTCAGACTATCGGACAGAGGTGCGGTCAGAATCATAGAATCGTCATAGGATTGGAAGGGACCTTGGAGGTCTCAATAGTCCAAACCACCACCATCCCCACCCAAGGCAGGAGACTTCAGACCATCGCAGACATCTGACTCTCCAGTTTTGGGGGGGCTAGAGTTCCTGTATCATTAGCCTTGCTGAATTGGACCAAGGGGAGGCATAGGCCAAAACCTTTGGAAGGCTGAAAGCTTCTTGCCCCAGCTATATAATCTGGACCAGTGAGGGCATTACAACGAGAGGTGCGAGTGGTCCTGTTTTCACTTGCCGTAGCCAGGGCTGTCACTTCCCTGCCCCAACATTGGGGCTGTAAAGGTTAAGACCTTGAAAGAGTGTCGTTGATACAGCTCCATTAAGAAATATAACAGGTTTTAAAGCAATTTTGGTCATCTAACCTAGATTTGTTTGTTTGTTTAGGGTGGTCGTGGTTCTCATGGTATGCCAGGGAAACCAGGGCCCATGGTAAGTACCTCACTCCCACTTTTCTTTATATTTTCCCCCAACTTGTCCTTTGTGTCAAGTCACATTACATTAAAATAAGGAAGCAAAATGAACTTTGGACATTTGCAGTTGTTACTGAATCCTTTTGTCATGACTGTTCAACATCCTGGAACTTAAGATTTTTTGGGATGACTTCGAGTGGTACAGGTCGTAGGAGTTTGTGGTAGAATCTATGTCTCTCTGAAATGACTGGGAAGGCCCACAGGCTTGACAGTACCACAGAACTGGGGCCAGACTATGCTCCTGTCTGCCTGTCCAGCTCTGAGTTCCTATCAAACCATGGCAAACCAGCAGTTATATAAATCTGAGGTAACTCCTCACCAAGGTGGATGGATATTGCATGTGTAACCTAATTGACTCACAGTGATGGTCGTGTCTACTTTGCACTCATCTTGTGTCACTCTTTCTCAAAAAGACTGAGCATTGCTCAATTAAGGAAAATAATTCTGAAAGAATATATATTTTTGCGTGTTCTTCTTATCCATCTATCTGGGGAACTCAAATTACATTCATATTACTATACATTCATTCTAATACAATATTTACGGCCTGATTGCTAGAGAAGGGAGTCTTCCACAGTAGCTTGAAGTTTTAAAAAAGTGTAGCATACAGAAGGTTATGATTATTGATAAATAAACTTATTGATTATTGATAAATAAACTAAATAAAAACAAAAATAAACTTGCACGGCCTGTTTCAAATTCACTTCTGGTCATAGCACTGTAATCCAACAGAAGGGAAAACCTTCTGCTGTGTAGTTCTCACGTTTTGTGTCACAGGACAGAATTTAAATAATGCATGATAATCAAACTGTTGATCTCTGTTAACATTTTAAGCTGAGGATCACTTTGTTTTATATCTATTTATTTATGTGGATATTTTACGAAACACTCCACATCATAGTCTCAGGGCAGGGAACAATAAATATGTAATAAAGTTAAAATAAAATGCTGTCATAAAGCAGGAAAGGTTGGTACCATCATAAAACTGACTGAAGATTTTAATATGCATAGTGGAAAGTTTTGGCTTTCTACATAAAATAAGTGCCTTGTGTTCAGGCACTTAGTGCTCAAGATGTTGCAACAAAGGGTTTTATCTTATATGGAGCGAGAAATGCCTGGTGTTCAAGCTGGATTCTGGAAAGGAAGAAGCACTTGAGATCATATTCCAAATATCTGCTGGCTGATGGAGCGCACCAAAGAATTTCAGAAGAAATCTCTGCTTTATAAACTACAGGAAAGCCTTTGACTGTGTGGATCATGAGAAATAGCTATGGGTTGTTCTCAAAGAAGTGGGTGTGTCTCAGCGCTTAATTGTCCTGTTGAGCAACTTGTATTGTGGCCAAGAAACTACCATGAGAACAGAATATGACAAAGTTGTCGGACAAGGGTGCTTTTTATCCCCTTATCTGTTCAATCTGTACGCAGAACGTGCTATACGATTTAAGATATGCAGATGACACCATCTTACTGGCAGAAAGTGTTAATATTTGAAATTTTGTGTTTCATTAGAATTTGAAAGGATCATGGGGGATGGAGGAAAAAAAGCCTCAAAAACTAAAGTGCCATTTAAAATTATGGCTTGGAACTGCTACTATAAGTAATCTCATAAACCATCTAAGTAGACCCAAAACAGTGGACCACAAATCAAGATTACAGAATTTGTAAACAATGACAGCTAAATGTCTGAATATTTTTGTTGAGATAGGGCTACCTTTCAGAAAACTATAAATATTTTAAACCTAGGCCATGTAGGCCATCTTAAACTTGAATAAATATAGCAAATGTAGATGAATACTGCCAGAGAAGGACAGACCTGTTCAAAGGCTTTTTTAAAAAAACTGCATTTGAAATGTATTACCCAGATGAACGGTGGCATATGGGCAGGAAAGACTCCACCGATAAGCGGAAATATTTCATCAGCTGCACGGTTCTAGCTCACAGTTTTAATAAAAAGTGTAAGATAAAAGATTAAGGGGAATCAGAATATAAAATAGGCATAAAAATAGTGTGAACAACAGTTTCTGTGGATACAGCGGGTAAGGGATTTTTTTTACCACTTATAGGAAGAATTTCTCATAGAAAGTGACTGACTGACTGACTGATTGACTAAATAAAATATAGGAAGAATTTCTCATAGAAAGTGACAGACTGACTGATTGACTAAATAAATGAATTATGATTTCTAATAACAATCATTGAAGTCAAGGTGCATGTGGCAAGGATGTCATCACTGCAGAACAAAAGCTCTGGTCTGCCCTACCTCAGTCTGCATGGCACTTTGATCTCCAGATGTTAGTTAAATATCTCAGCGAGGGTCCTATTTATTTTGGGATCACGCCAAGAATGAGTTTGGCCACATCTACAAATCCAAGCCCATGGAAGGCCCGGGAATTTCAAATTTTGAGGGCCCTTGTCTTTAGATCCATCTTCTCAGTTTCAGCTAGTTCTGGGAAGAGATGGATTTCGATGAGGACCAAATGGTAGCTGTTGGGATAAATGGCAAAGTAATGATTTGGAAAACTTTAGTTTTATTAAAAGAATGAAATTTTGTGACAATTAGGTAAATTAGACAATTTAGGTAAATTACTGCACTATTCAGCATGTACAATATTTATATTGTGTCTAAAAATTTTATTGAATAAGACCTAGATTCAGAAAATTCACTGTGTAACTTGTATAGTGACTTTTCAGCAACAACAACAATAACAATAACAACAGAACTGCAGAGCTGAAAGAGACCCTGTGGATCATTGAGTCCAGCCCCTTTCAGGAAAGCCCAGAGGGGAATCAAACTCCCAACCTCTGCTTCTGCAACCAGAGACCTAAACCACTGAACCATCCACCAGTTACCTGAATCGTCATCATAATCATCTTAGAACTGTAGAGATGGAAGGGACTATACAGATCACCGAGTCCAGCCCCTGGTGGGGAATAGCCCTTCCAACCTCTGGCTCCACAACCACCAGCAGTGAAGCAGTGTGGATTTTAAAGCAGCCTTTCTCCTGCCTACACTCATGAATTCCAGAAGTAAAATAAAGCAAAGCAATCATTTCTTCTCCCTTTTTTATCAGAGTAGAGCTGCAGCAAAATAACTCTTCCAGGACCCACTGGGACACGAAACATCAGGCTGCTAATCCACCCAATCCGGGCATGAGCACATGAGTTCATTGGCTAGTCCAGAGCCTCTTCGGAGGCCCTATGAGATGAATTTTCCATAATAATCCATTAAATGGACTTGCTGCTCTTGCCTTCCAGACCTTGGCTGCCCCCGTCTCCCCTGTTTCTTCTTTATGGGTGGTGAATTTTCAGCCTTGTCACCCTCCTGTACCTTTAAGAGGATAGTTTGGGTGTTTGTTTCCCTGCATATCTTTCTAGGGCTTATCCGTTGGATTTCACAAAGACGAAACTGAGACAGTGGATGAGAGGAAATGAACAGCCAATGCCATCCCATGGACTGGACTGGCAGCGGTAGTCTGGCTAGTAATCATCTTATCCGAATGGGCCAGCGCCCCAGTTGCCCTGAGAGATCAACTTCCACTGCTCAGGGCACTCCCCTGCACAAATTTACCATTTAAGAGCACACTTTGAGTTTGATGCCCTGCTGCCCGACCCCCTCCCCAGGACAATTTGCATATTACTTACAATTGGTGCACACAGGATAAAAGCAATGGTTGCTCAATAATGATCATTTTGGGGAGAAAAATCTTAAAACAAGAAAACCTTGGAATGTAAGCATTAAAAACAAGCAAGCAAGCAACCTCATAGTTATTGCGAAATGGGAGTTCTAGATTAAATGTTTCTGTTTCCATTTATCCATGAAATGTGTTGAAACAGATTCAGCGTGACATCTGTTTGGCAAAAATCTATGGCACCGTCCCTAAACATGTCAGGAGGGATTGGACAGCTTCACAGTGAAACATGTACTTGTAGGAGTTGAAGGGTGCGATTGGAATTCACAAGTGATGCAGCTACTGCAAACAGGACTGCCTGAAGGCTGGCATTCCACTTGAAGTCAGAGAAAGTATTGGGAGACAATTGCTAGTGGCCAAAATAGGATTTGGGGTGTTTTCCTAAATACAGCAGCATCAAAAGCTGCCTTATAGGGAAAGGGACACTTGGTCCGTCTACTCGGTGATGTCAGGTCATCAGCTCTCCAGGGTTTAAGGTAGAATTCTTCCCTAGCTCTGACTTGGAGTTTCTGGTTTTGGGATCTAGAAAACATGGCATGTGCAATGTCTCCTCGCCAGCACAGCTCTTTGGATTTTCCTGGTGCTCTCACATCCAAGTACTGACCACGCTCAAGTCTGTTTAACTTCTGAAATTAGATACCATGAGGTGTGTTCGAGATGATGCCAGGGTGGAACAGTGAGAAACCCTGAGCAAGTAGGATCTGCAAGAAGAGAGCAAGCAGTCAAGCCCTCAGTCGGCAAATGTTCTAAGAGTTGTAACTAAAAACAAACACGCACACCAGAATTTTGCCAAAACTGAATAAAATGCAGTACATTGAAGGGCAAGTTATCTTGTCATTATTAATAGCTTCTGGAATAGACTCTTACTCTTTCAGAAACTATCACAGGAACTATTTTATAGAGTGTTTCCATCCTCCTCTTTGGGAGAGTGCCAAGGCAGCAGACACAGAGAAAAGGAGACCACTGGGGCATAACGAACATTTTGAAGGGGCAGCGAGTATTTATGACTGCTGTGAACCACTGCCCAGATATTGTCTAGACAATCTATTTCTTTGGCTAAGTGTCTTGGAGGACCGTTAAAAAAAAGTTTCCCACCAAGAAGTTTGTTATGATAGTAAACAGCCAAGTATTTCTGGAGCACAATAAACCAGGTCTCCCTGCCATCTTACTCCACATTCCTGAGCCAGTTCTCTGACTTAAGAGAGCAGATGGTGGTCGCCAGGGTGATCTGGACTTATTCGAACATGATGCCAGAGGTGTAAGAAAAACTTCCTCATGTTCCATTCTCAGCTTCCAGTGTTACAACTGAATCCTAGCAGAGTTGAAGTACCGTAGACAGCTGTTGGTATGCTACTACTACGGACGTCACCGACAAAGATCTAGTTTCATGAAACCTGGCTCTGTCATATACTTCTGTTACATGGTTTGATGTTCTGGAGCAATAGTTTCTAAACTTATGTTGTGTTCCTGGCCAGAGCTTCTGGGAGCTGCTGCCCAAGAACACCTGGATTACCAAAGGTTGAAGAACCACCGTTTTGTAGGTATATTCAAGGTATAGCCAGCTGGGCTGGGCTGTTGAGCAGGACAAAGACAATGGCAAGGCAGGGAGGGAAAGGGATTTAACCTTTTATCGTTACACAATCCATGTTGGAATCTCTCCCTTCTTGCACATCTTCTGTTCACAACAGATGTGCAGGAAGAGGTTGATCCCAACCTGGTAGGTTCTCAGTGGTATCCAAAGCAATCAGCGCTCCCAGTTTCTGTCGAGACTATGGCTGGACGAAGAGTTTAAGCACCCAGCAGTAGGGACATCTTGTTAACTGAGCCAAGGGTGGGATGTTTCAGCCCAGCATTTCACTGGACAGCCACCCCAAACACAGACACTCTGGTCATGAGATACCCATGTGCCATAATACAGTCCCAGTAGGACTCAGCCATCACCACACTGGCTCTGTTGTTGTTGTTGCTGTTAAAGAAAAGAAACTTTTGAAGCAAAGTGATAAAAATTACATCCAGTAAGATGGCAGCTGTATAGAATGCCTCTCTGGACACCCCTGCACTGAGGTTTTTCTCCCCCTTAGCCAGAAACCTAACGAGTTGAGGTAAGTACAAAAAGCTTGCTCATTCCTTTCAAACTTTTGATCGATCCTAACAAACTCTGACTTCTCCAACAGAAACATATTGATTCCAGTCAGGTTTGACGAACATCAAGCAGTACTTGTTTGCTTTTCATCCACAATTTATTTTCTCCAGAATAAGCGACCAGTCGTGGAACTGAACGCTGGAAAGAATTATTCTGGCATTTTGAAACCTCTGTGATTTGCTGTGCG